AGAGAGAGAGAGAGAGAGAGAGAGAGAGAGAGGAGGAGAGAGAGAGAGAGAGTCTCGCCACTCGCTTTCGCATCCATGGAAATATCGCGCGGTGACAATTGGCATCATTGGACGATCGCGTTAATTGCACCTGAATGTAACTATAAGGCGCGGCTGACAATTAAATTTAATTTCGACAGAAGCGCAACGGCGACATTTACAACGCGCGCGCGGCGGATTCTAACGTCGCGATGCCTCTGCAAAATTTCCCACTCCCGGGCGCGCGGAATATATTCGAGACCAGCCGTCGTTCGCTGAAAGGAGCGACGTCTAAGGGCGTCCGCGCCCTTAAAGGGCTTTCGCACATTCGTGTACTTTCACACCCGGCGCGCGCGCGCGGGGTTAGCGGCGGGGAAGGAGAGAGAGAGAGAGAGAGTGCGGAAGCTTCGCAGCTTCGTAGTATTTCAGGCGTCGTCGGTTCCCGTTTACACTTGTAACGCGAGGCTTCCCATTGTGTAACAAGAGAGAAACCTCCGGCACACGAGGAGGAGCGCGCCATGCCGTCCCGCCCCCCTATCATACCCGGCTGGATGCATTAACGTCGAGATTGAGGGGCGGCGAAGGAGAGCCTTCTCTCGACGACGAGGACTACCCTCTCCTCTCCCCGACACGTCGCAAGTAGTTCCACGTCGAACGGTTGTAAATGGTTCGCCTAATGCGATCGCGTTACACGACGAGGACGACGACGGCGATGGGGGACTAGCTCGCCGGGGATGTTCTTGGGTTACCCCTATCTGAGATGTATATTATCTCTCGCTATCCTCCTGGATTACCGGTTCCTCGCTTCCAGCGGAGGAGTCCTCCTAGTTTACCGCGATATTGGATGCCCCGTCAGCGGTAACGACGCGTTCACCGCGCGCGAGTCGAACGTTGAGTAAGTTATATATATAGATATCGCGTAAATCTATATATACGAGACGTCCTCTCGCTCTCTGAGACCGAAATGACAACTTAACGAGAGCGGGCGGCGAATTATTTTGCCACGCGCGATTCACATTCCACGTTACGAACACTTATTGACTTATTTTTCGCGGTAATTGGTAGTCCGGTGTCTCCCTTATTTTCTCTCGGCATTCACGTGTCGCAACGGGGAGAAGAGACGTGTAACGAGGGAAGGTGTAACGACGCTTGAGGGGCTTTAGGTCCCCACTTCCCCTCTCCCCTGGTAAGCGTACGGCTTCGTCGGGATAGAGCTAATGCTCGTCGCACGGGGGGGTTTAACGCTTACCGTAAGCAGGAACAACGGATCCATGGCGACCGCGGAAAATCCGCCCGGGGCGGAGGAGGGCGGGGGGGAGGGTGGTCGATGGGGGAAGTCACGCGGAAAAGCTCCGAACAGCTTTCGTGGGGATACTTCGCATGGGTGGATCACGTCCACGGGATACTCCGCGAAGGGCCCGCCGGTACAACGCCCCGCAACTTCGCCTCGCGAAGGAACACGTTGGGGAAAGTTGGAATATATATCCTAAATAACAGGGAGAATTCTTATTAGCGAAAGTAGCGTCGAGAGAATCGTTTTGGAGAGAAGTTAGAATCTCAAAGTAATAAAAAGAAATCTTATTAGCGAAAGCGTGATGGCCGTTGAGAGAGCCGTCCTTCGAGAATCTTGATGGTCGTCAAGATGCGCGCGTACGTGCACGTTTCGTGGAGATCCGTACGTGAGACGTCCAGAATCCCACGAATTCAGGGATGCGCGCATGCCAAATCCGCGCGGTCTTTGAAGATTCATGCCGTCGGAAATCGCCGTAATCCGAAGAGAGAAAGAGAGACAGGAGAGCAGGGAGGAGGGAGGACGAGCTTCCCGCTATCTGTGAGATCTATGAGTTCTCAAATCTATAGCATTTAAAATCCGCGGATTTTCCGAGGATCCGTATACGTTTGTATCTCGCGGATCGCGCGCGGTGGATAGCAGAGGCGCTCCTGCAAGCGCACGACGATATTTTCCCGGAGCTACCCCGTGTATATGTGTGTGTATATATATATATATATATATATATATATATATATATATCCTGTAGCGCGCGTATAAACGGGGCTCCTCCGCTTGGAGTTTCCCCCGTGTGTGGGCGGAGGATTACGATACTGTATGGCTGAGACACGAGACAGGCGCGCCCTTTGTCTACGTTGTCTGCTATCCTTAGCCTTTCATTTAAGGGCCAGGTAATAGCTGTCGCTGCAGCTGCACGTGACCCCCGCAGTTTGCTGAAGGCAGGGAGAGAATAGGCGAACGTATTTTACTACGCGGGGATACTAAAATTCGCCGGACATGCCGCCACACCATGCCGCGCGCCATGGTGTGTTTCCGAATTTATGCGCCCCGGGATCATCGGGGGTTTCAAGCGAAATTCACAGGAGGAGGATTGGCCGGATCGATGAGATCTGGAACAGAGATAAACTCTCCCCTCGCGGGCCGTTACGATCGTGAGATTTAGCGCCGTTAAGTTTAATGAACTATAATTAGCGTCTTACGAACGTTTGAAACTTTAATAACGTAGGAAATTCTGTAAAAATATCTGAAATTTACAAGGAAATTTTTGTTCTTGAAAGAGAATATTTTTAGAGATTTTTTTTATGGTATTTCTTCAAAGATTTTATTTTTAATTTTCGAGGATCATATATATTTTTAGTGTAAAATTATACAAGTTCTGTCCGAGGTTTTTAGATTCTTAGATAATTCTTGTATAATACAAAGTTCTACATAAGTTCCCTTTTGTCAAATATTTAAGTTAAGTTCAACACTTTCTTCTTTTGTTAACAGATTATACTTTTTGTTGTATTTCTCGAGTATAGAATGAAAATTTTACGCAACGTGCTCCACTCTCTTCTGTTTAGTTTCTAAAATCTGATACTTGAAACAGACAGTTTTATAGTTCTCCCTTTACGATATAATTATGAAAGGAGATTTAAGAAACTTTATCTTTCAGATAATAATTAATTTTATTTTAAGTTTGCATCTGAAAATATTCTAATTGCACCTGGAGATTAATTGCTTGGAAAATCAGGAAATGTTTTACAATACTTGAGTATAGATATCCGGTAATGCAATATATAATTATTACTTAATACTGTAGTACTCAGAACTCACATAATAAATTAAAAAAAATAGTTATATTATTTTATTATTACAGTAATTAATGTATAGAATACAGAATATACCATTGATCTCCATTTGATTGTAAGCCTCTGGGGATTTGACGTCGACTGCTTTCACGTACGTGTCACAACGCGTTCTGTGCAGTCAGACATTTGAAGAAATGCACGTACGATTATTCTCGTACCTGTATGCCAAGCGATACAAAAGACGGCGCGCATACACAGGAAGAACGATTTTGCTGAAGTATACAAAAATTCGGTTCAGATACAGGAATCTGAAAATAATCATGTTGGACCATATCGAAATAATTGTGAAGCATAGCGACAATGCTGTATAAGAAGTCTTGACATTCTAACAGTCAGCTTGAGCGTCCAATATAATTATTTTAGACGTAATTATTTTCAGATCTGCATCTCCAGCTAAATTTTTATATACTTCGGCAAAACCGTTCTTTCCGCGTAACGCCGCGCCGAATGACTGATACATCCGTCGAGGGTGTATTCGAGATATCGAGTTGCCGCTCGATAAAATGCAAAACTCCGCGGCACACGCGGGAGTAAAAATCGCGCGCGGATACGCGCGGATATATCGCTTCGCGTGTGGGGCGGAGGTAAAATATACGAGATAGCGCTCACGCCGGTATATCCGCCGTCACGTGCGTTAGGCGATATTTGTCGCACGTGACCGAGGAGCCGCGCCCGCCGCCGATATCTTTCCGCGGCGCGGCGCGGCGCGGCGAGCTTCTTCCGCAACGGACGTGTAACGGAAAATCCATATGTGCGTCGCGGAAGGCGCGGAACATTCGCCCGGTTTTTTTACTATTCACGAGCTATACTATTCCCGGGTCGATGTAAAAAATGTATATCATTTAACGTCGACGTGTTTTTACAGCGAACGTTTCGAACGTGGCGAACGGCGCATACGACGACGACGGGGAAAAAAATATCGCGCGCGTGCGGTGTATACTTCCTCTTTATTTACTACCGTATAATTTTTGCATTTCGCAAAAATGACCGTTTAAAAGAGATATAGCTGGGCAAAAACTCGCCGTGTGCCGATCAACGTGCATTGAACGGCTCTCTAAATGTTTCGCCGCGCGGACAGCGAAATATTTTTAATTGCCGAGAAGTAGGCAACGATAAGTGGTTTGCATCGCGCGACTTTTTAATTGCTGCAAATTGAAGTCGCTTAAACAGGCGAAAGTTTTATAATCTCCTCATTTAACACGTAAACGCAAATATCTCGGATCCACGAGGAAAACTCTCGATGCAGTGATTTATTTATTTAACTTTTTTTTTACTTTGTAAGCTTCGTTCAAGTTCACGCCAACGCGAAATTCGCAGGCTCATTCACAGAAGCAACGGTGAAATCCTCTTGAGTAGACCTGAGATCCGAGAGAAAAAGGGAGAGAGCGAGGGTGAGAGGGGGGGGGGGAGGGGGAGGGTGGAGGTGGGATAGTGGCGGGAAACGCTTCCACGGGGAAAAGTTTCCGCACTCCGCGGAAACTTTCTCGATCGGGCTCGAGACGCACGAGCATTTGTTTTCCCCCGTGGCGAGCTGCACTCGCGAGCTTTCGGCAGGGAAGTCACTCTGGACGGCCGCGGGCACCGTAACGCGCCGCTTTAAGCTATCGCGCGGCATACTCATCCTCCCTCTCTCTCTTCCGCGCGTTTACCCTCGTTCTCCACTTTCCTCCCCGCGCCGCGGCTCCACGCTGGATTAAAGTATCGGCGACGCCAACCGCGTCTGAATAATTCAGGACGAAAGTTCTCCGGTTGTTTCGATCCCGCGAGAGAAAGAAAGAGAGAGAAGTCTCATCCAAGGACGATCGGAGGGTCTGATCGAGGTCCGTTTTTCTGTGTTGCAGGTTTCGCGCTGATGAGAATCGTCGAGGTGTACAAGGAAATCCAGGAACAGGAGATGAACATTGTAAGTAAATAGCAAGAATCTAATTTTTAGACTGGGAAACTTTCATTGTCGTCTCTCGAGTTTTTCTTCTTCAAGAACTCTTCTCTAGACATTTCTTTTTTATCGCAGGCGTTAAACTTTTATTATTCAGTAATCAAGTGTTTACATACAATATTAATTTGTATCTAATTTTTATCCAATTAAGATATACAATAAGATCTCTTTAACGATTCCCAATTAAAATTTTTATCTATATCGAGATATAATAATTTAAATAATACTTTTGTTTGTCGGTTCTCTTTATATAGTCGAGTCTTTTCAAGGACGATTTTTTTATCACGATCGAATAATATTTCGAGACGTTTCGTAAGGCAGCTAAAAGCAGGCGTATTGTCTGCCGCCCCCTCCCACCCATTTTTTCCGTCTGTCTTCCACCCTGGCACCGTCCATTTCCGGGGATTACGTCAGACGGTCGTGTCTGCCAGGATTCGTAAAGATGTCCTTTTCGCCATCGTCTAGTGCCAAGCCTATCTAGTGGAAATTCACGTCTTTCTTTGTTTACTTTTATATTCACTCGACGAGTGAAAAGGATTCTTTAAATCGTGTTTTTTTAACGGTCGCCGCTCGAAATATTGATAATCTCGAAAAGAAATCAGACAAGTAATGACGAATAATTAATAATTCACTAAGTTTGCATAACAATTACTAAATGAGAGAGAGAAAAAAATTTTGCAAATATTTAATATCTTGAAAACGAAATATTACTTAGAAATGATATTATCATTTTCTATCTCAAGCCCATCTTTTTGACAGCTTGAGAAAGCTGCCCCTTCACATCTCTCTGTTTCTCTCTTTCTCCCTCGCCGATCCCATGACACCCTATAGAAGGGCAGGCGGAAGTCCGCAGGAGCCTCTTTGATCCTGCGGCTCGCCTCCGCTTGGCTCGGGGGCGACATTACATCCCGCAGGCGTTTCGTTTGAACATGAAATCTCATTGCAACCCTAACGACATGTGGTTATTACGACTTTACAACTCTCTCTCTCTCTCACCCGCCTTCTCTCTTCCCCCCTTGCGGACACACTACCCGCCGACCCGCGTCGCATTTTACAATTTCGTTCCGGCCGACCTCTCCGCGAAAATGTCTCTCCGGCGACCTAATACAATAATACAATCTAATCCGCAGCTAAGCTAAGAACATGTCCTTCCCTACAGTCGCGGTAATTAAGTAACGTTAAGTTTAGTGTAGCTTTTTCCACTAAAACACAATGGGATCTTGTTAGTTGTTTTTCTGCACGTGATGCTGTGTTTGCGCAGAAGAATGCGACGTGAAAAATGTTAAAAGCAAAGGGATGTTGCAGGAACTTTTAACTTTTTATATTAAAAAAATTCGTAGCGGTATAAACATGAGGAATTAAAATGTTATTAATGTAAAAAATATTATTAATGTAAAATTTCTCATGAAAAATTAAAGGAAGACTCAATTTTTTTATTTTTCATTTTTGCAGCCATAGAAATATGTGAAAAGGTTTTCGCGTTTTCTTTTAAATATTAGAACTTTATGAACATTGATTACGCACAAAATTCGTTCGTACAAAGTATTATGAATGACGAAATAATTGATTTGGGGAGGAAGGAAGGGGTGGAATGCTGCGAGCAAAATAAGGGTCAACGATCTCTGATTCCTTCGGGGAATTTCTGAAGAAACAAACAACCGCGTACCCGCGCTGCGTCACGATTCGCCGATGAAAAACGCACTCCAGACGAAGATTATCTCGAGCGCGACCGGAAGGAACGAGCGGAGGAAATGCCGCGGAGGAAAGAGAAAGAGACGAGTGCCAAGTCCGGCGGCGCGGGGGAGGGGGGGAGGAAGAGGCGGAGGGTGGCTGCGTATGAGGGTGAAACTCACGTAGCTTGCATTACTTTGCAGCTTTTTGGCGGACGTGTATCCCCGCAATAACTTCGATCGATAACATCGCGAGATTTGCTAAAGAAGCGTTCCTACGGACATCTTTCATCCGCAATTGCTACATTTTTCTCTCTCCCACTTCTCCAAAAATTACAGACTTAAAAGTTTTATTACATTAAATATTGTTAAGTCGTCAAACGAAATTGAAATTATTTAATGCAATATTCTATTATTTTTTTTAGCAATTTATTGTATTAGCTCTTTATTTTTTTTAACAATAAAATTCACTCAGTTTTTCACTAGTTTTAAAATTAATTTGATCGAAACTCGCGGAAAATTGTAAATTAAATTACTCTACCTCGAAAGTTTATTTTACTTCTTTCTAAGCAATACAGACACAGACATCACCGTTTTTCGACATCTTCCGCTACTGGCCAGAATTCGGTTCTCCAATCTATTCGGTGACGCGACCGGAAGCCGGTGCAAAAAAAGTGCGCTCGCGCTGTCCGGAAGCTCTGTAATTCTCGATGGACGCAACGGGCGGAGAGGGTGAAAGGGAGGAGTGGGGAAGAGACGACGGGGCGAGGAAACGACGAACAGGGGCGAGCTGGAATGCGTGGCAAAAGACGCTCGTTCGCTCGTTCCAACGGTGGACTCAACATGGCGGCGGTCACGCTCACAATCAGATCTAAAGAGCGCAGAATTTTCCAATAAAAATCGCCGGCGTTTCCCTAAAAGCTCGCGGATTAAATTCACGATGCGTAGAGATTCGTGTGTTCAACGAGAGGCGGATGAATAAAAAAAAGCGGATAAAAAAAGACGGATTCCCCTCTTCCTCTCTACTTCTCTCCCTATTTCTCTCTCTCTCTCTTTTCTCTCGCTACGCACCGCGCCGCCATAGCAACGGGCTGCTGCAATCCGCCTGCCTTTGAGCGACGCACAAAAAGCGAGGCGAAGGGTGCTCGAACTGCAAAACAAACAACTTGTTCGTGAAACGCGAGCTTGTGGGGAGCCAGGGGGTGGATGGCGGGGGCGGGAGGTGAGCCGGTGAGGTTGGTTGCAGTGCGGGAGGTGAGCAGGGTGGCTCTCGAAGAAACGCCGACGTGGGGGCGACGTCGGAAGGGCCGAGGGTACGAAAGGGTTAATACGGCTGATGGATCGAAGTGGCTGGCAAACACGGCAGGCATATCATTATCGCGACCGGAAAATCGTTCGCCCCGGCAAACGCGCCGCGTCTCGGGCGCGTGTTTGACCGGATGGAAATTGGCCGGGGATAGGGAAATAGTGATTTGATTGCGGAGCAGGCGGGCTCTGTAAGGGATGATCGAGCTGCGGAGGAGCGGGCGCTCGGGCAGTTCGATTCCCCGGGTGGCGTGAGTTGAATTTTCGAGATCGAGATTTCAAAGTCCGGGCGAGATCTCGTTCCGTCGCGTCGGCGGTCGAACGGACCGCCCACTGACTGTAGGCGAAGATCGCGAATGATGTCTCCGGAAAGTTCGGTAGTTGAAAGTTCTCTCGGCGAAACGATCGGCGCGCGTCTGGAGAGATTCGATCTCCCCATTTATTTATACAATTGTATTTTCGCTCTGCCGTACCGGGCGCGAAATTGCGCTGTTATTACGCTCACGCGCGCCCGCGCTACCTCCGCCCCCCTCTAATTGCGCTCGAAACATTGTTTGTCATTTATTTGAGTTTTTACGGTCCTCCCGCGCAGCCCACATTATGCTATTATTCTATTGTTATACCGTGGCGTATTACTGCGGTACACTTTTTTCCCATTACGCGAAATTTCACGCGTTGCTTTTATACCATTCTTTCCTGCCTCGCTTTCTCTTTCTCACTTTTTCTCTCTTTCTCGAGATGCTAATAAAAAGGAATAAAGAGCGCCTTCGTCGTCGTCGCGTTTTCCGTCGGAACGCATCCAACCAAGGACCACTCCTGCGAGTATAAATTAGGTCTGGCTCGGGAGAGAGACTCTCGTAAACCGCCTAAAGCTCACATAGGGCGAACCCAAGACGGCGAAGAAATAAAGAAACATCGCTCTCTTTCTCTCTCTCTTTCAACAGCATCCACGAAGACGCTGGGGTTTTACCTTAATCCCCTCGTCTCTAGATTGCCTTTAAACGTCGGCAGGACGTTCGACCCACGCCTAATTACGTTTATTGCCTTGCGGTGTCCGTTAATTATTTCCCACTTAAAAAGATTACTTTATTATATCTGTATTTAATTTACCGCCCGCAAACCACCGCAAGTTCACGTTAATTTCCTAAATGGACGTTACTTTTGGAACGAAAGCACGACAAATTAGGAAATTGTATAATAACGAAATGCTATTTGTGTATTAATATCGTGCAAGGATAATATTATTTATTGTGTAAATATATAATATGATTAAATAATATAATACGTTACACATAATATTACATATAATTACATAAATACATGTAATTATATAAATTATTAAAATTAATATTGCAAAGTGAAACAAACATCACGTACCCATGTGTATAATAACAACATTTCTCTTACCCTTTACCTTCCAGTTGAAAGCGTTCTACGTGGATCTGCTGGTGCCTCTGGAGACCAACCTGGAGAAGGACACGAAAGTCGTCCAGGTAAGTAGTGGACTGCCGAAAATGGTTCCCGGATGGAACATTAGTCGTCTCCGAGTCCCGACCTCCCGCGGCGACGAATGAATAATGCAAACACGCTGGGAAATGGAACTTTCAGAGCGAGCAGAAGAAGTTTCTTCAGCAGCACAAGACCAGATCCGAGACGTACAGCAAGGCGGCCGCGACCATGAAGAAGCAGCGAAAGAAATCCAGGGCGGCCAACAAGAGTGGTCTCGCCATGGACAAGGAGCTGAAGAACATGCAGATCCTCGAGGAGGAGAAGTCCAAGCTTGACGCCTTCTGCGAGCAGAGCCTGAAGAACGTGAGTGCGATCTGCAGTAAAATCGCTGTCAATCGAATTCTCCGCATTTTCGTAGCACATTTTCGAAAAATTTTGCGGGATGCGATAAACGCAAGATCTGTTTTTTTTTTTCGGTGGCGAATGAATACGAAAGTTAAACGAAAGTTGTACGCTAGGGATGGCGGAGATGATGGATTACGCGATGAGATTCATTAACGGAGCCGAGTTCATTAACACCCCCCTCCTTTGTGCGTTTTCTTTTCACAGGCGATGACTCAGGAGAGACGGCGATACGGTTTCGTGCTGGAGCGACAATGCTCCTTGGCGAAGCACTATGCGAGTTTTCATGAGGTTGCACTGGCCGCGCTTCATCCCTCGGTTGATAAATGGCGCGAGGTTGCCGCCACCAGGGAATATTTGCCCCAGTCGGTGGAGGACATGTTCGCTTCCAGACTCAGGGTAAATTCACGCGACAGAGTCCCCCCCGCGCGTTCTCCGCGAATTCCCACGAATTCTGAATCGATTCGACAGCGCGATGATTTACTCCTGCGACTCGATGTTTATGCATCACATCCGACACATAAGTTTTGCAAAAGTTATAATAATCTTGCTGTCTTTCGCGCGTGAATTCCGCAGAGGAATCTTAATTACAAATATGCATTTCAACCATTTGAAATTTTACTCGATTATCCTGAAAATTTTCGGAGTGGCACCTTTTTTTAAATTTAATATTTTTTGAGAAATTGAAGTAAGACTTTTTAACTGATATTCTAGAAACTTTGAATTTCAAGAACAATAATATGCCGTAATAAATTAATCCAAAAAGAATAATTATAAATTTGAGAAAAATTTTAGATTTTCTTGCAGAAAAAAAAAGAAACCTTTACGTGTCCATTTTACATCTGCAGCGTCGTTCTAAAGTTAATAAATCACACGTAATGAAAAATATTGTCGAAATATATTGCCGAGGCGTGTGCGAGGCGGAATAGCGGTTCTATATCGGCAATCTACGGTTGTTTCCTGCAGCAAACGTCATTCTGGCCGGAGGACGAGGAGAACGGCGGCTCCGAGCTGACGACGATGAGCTCGCAATTGCGGAAGACCCGTAGCATGGACAGCTCCTGCCTGGAGCTGCGACTCGGCCCGCTACCCGGAAACCCGCCGTCGTCCGGCGGCCACTTCGGCCCGGCGCACCATCTGCCCGCCGCCCTCTCCAGAGCGCGGTCGGAGGCCAACCTGCACGCCTCGACGTTATCCCTCGGCCCCGGTACGTCGTCCCCGCTGCTCCTCCTTTTTTTCTGCGACAATGATATCGATTTTTCGCGGCCGCACCACACGCGCCCCCGCGTCCCCCGAAAATTTGCCGCACCCGCTCCCCACTCTCTCCTTCGCCCCCGGTATCACCCCGTCCTTATGCTCGCGGGATAAAATTAATTCTCGGTTAAACTAATTTGCAACTACGCCGAACTAAACTGAATTGGACTAAACTAAACCGCATATACCCGGCCAAATAATTCAGTAATTGTACGTGGAACAATTAAACCGTTACATATTGCATGTTATTATAATGCGAATATTCCTTTTAGATAGTTGGCTTCAATCAGCATAATTGGCGGATGTACGGTGTATTATTTTAAATTGAATATAAATCAGACTTCTAATTTTGGATTACGTTCAACAATAAACTTTCCTTCGATTAAAATACATATGTATATATACGTGAAATTGAGGAGTTATTTCGAATCGGGATGATTTATCTTCGGATCTCTCTCGCTCGTTCTGCATTGTGCGCCCGTGCCGTCGCGCGGCACCGCGCCGCTACCCGGTGTGCAACAACAGCGGGCAACGGGCTGTCAACTGGTCAGAGACAATCGAGAAAAATCGGCGAAATGGAGCCATTCGCGCTGACGTTTCCACTCGCTTTTCGCGAGACCTGTCTCGTTGCCGGTCGTATAAATTTCAGCCCCGATCAGATTCGGGCGACCGTCGAAACCCGAGCGGCTCTCTCTCTCTCTCTCTCTCTCTCTCTCTCTCTCTCTCTCTCTCTCTCTCTCTCTCTCTCTCTCTCTCTCTCTCTGCGTGGCGCACTCCCGGAATCGGGTCCGCGGCCGCGCAATAAAAACGGAATATGCTTTCGTTTGTGCAACGCGACCCGAGACTGTATTTCATCGTCATGGTATCGCGTGTCCCGCTGATCCATCAACGTTCATCATTATACGCACTGCTTTCACGTGCGCGAGCGATGTCCCCCACGGCGCTCTCTTTAGGTTTTCTTTTCCCGGCGTGACATCACACGTCACACACTTTGACGTAGAACGAAATATAAAAAAAAAGACCAGATAATTATAAATAAGCGATACATAAATAAACGCGAGGAGAGCCATAAATAATTCCATCGCGCGCATTTATCGGGACGGTGAATTAAAGCCTTAATTAATCTTGCCCGTAGCCTCCATGGACAATTCAACGTCGCAAATCAACGTCGTTGCCTGCGCGAACTCGGATTAATTTACCACGACGTACGAATGGCCGCGCATTAATAATGCGCCGCTGATATTTCTGGACAATCTCGCGAATCCCGTGCCTTTCTCCTATCCTCGATGTCCCTGCGGGGGTTGATGCCCATTCTCCTTCCCGACATTCGACTCGCCCTGCCTGCCCCTCTTCTCCGAACGTCCGCTATCGTACGCTGACCTAATTGCCCTGGTTCACCCCGAAACTACCCCCGCATTATCCCGGGCTCATCTCCTCATTCCCTCGGATCCCAGGACCGCCCGTCCCCTCTACCCGCCGTGTTCATTGCATGGGCTCGGTCAGTTACAGCGCTTCTGGTTTCCAGAGGTTCCAGAGACCCCACCCCGGCCCCGGTCCATGGCGCCCCCGACGTCCCGCAGCAGCGCGGGTGGCACCGGAGGAGTCGGCGCCGGGGGTTGGGGGGACGCCCCCCTCGCCAGGGCTCTCTTCGCCTACCTAAGCTCGGGGGAGAATCAGCTGAGCTTTCTGGAAGGCGATCTCATCGCGCTGATGGGTAAGTCTGATCTCGCAACGTTTCGTCGATATACGATACACACACGCGGTGTATCCGGGAACTTACAGCGGCACTTACGGCGATCGCAGCTGTCGGCGTAATGAACAGAGTTCGGGGCACGTGGGTCAACGCCCGCACGCCATAGATAGCGACGGCACGGATATGTTTAACTTTTTTTTTCGAGATACCGAGGGAAAAATGCCGCTTAAATAAAAGTTTGCTATCTGTATTGACCGCAATATTGACGACGACCAAAGTCAGATTATCTATTTCGGTCAATATTTACTCAGTTATTAATATTATTATTCAATATTTAGCGTAGAATAATTAATAGAATTGAAATTAACTGTAATTTCGAGCTAATATCAGTGGTATTTTGCATACACCGGAGATATTTAGATTCAACGAGATGAAGATAAATTAGTTATTTGCTTTTTCCCCTCCCCTCACTCGCCCCCTCCGGTTTTTCAATGTTTACAATTAAAAAGAGCCTCTATTGCGAAAATGTTAATGAGACCGAAGCGTAAGCGAGTTTCGCGGATTTGCATATCTCCCGTCCTTTTTTTTTGTTAGGCGACCGTCAGAAGGGATGGCAATTTGGCGAAAATCTGCGCACTCAAAGCACGGGGTGGTTTCCCTTGGCGTACACCGAAATTATAATCGACGACACTTTGGGGTAAGTATAAGCTCGCCCGCCCGACCCTCTCCAAAGGTAGAGTAATACCGAAATTTCGCACTTATGGTCGCCCATTATTAACCCTTCAAACTACAAACATTTCGCTTTGAAATCCCGCATGCATTCGAAACAGTGAACGAATAAAAATTCTCACGCTGAAATTCAACACGCACACATTATTGTTCAGATATTATGTATCCAGCTGTATGTATCTCTCATTACTGTTGATCTCTCTTTTTCTCCATTATTTTCGGCTTAATATCGATTTATTTACCATCAGTTTTTCCCCACAATTTTTCGTTTTTTTTCCACGTTTGTGTGTAATATTATCCTTAAAAAGTTTACTAAAATAATTTGTTTTTTCTTTGCGCAACGTCGTCCAGAACGGGGCTGATAAATTTGCTGAGGTACAGCGTTTTATACTATCGGTTTACATTTGTTATTTACTCGGTCGATTTTTGTGAAAAAAAAATAATCTCCCGGATTAATTCGCCGGATTTCCGTGTACATTACTCTGTCCAATTATGCGAAGATCGCCGAGTCACGGAGCAAGCAACGGTAGGACTCCAGAACCGCAAGCCATACCACCGTGCAAGCCGGCGCCCTCTCGGCCGCCGATCACGCCGGCCAGTATCGATGAACCAGGTTCCGGTGGAACCCCCGGTAGCAGCTCTGCCAACAACGGCACCAATGCCAACAGCAGCGGCAGCAACAACAACGGCGGCAGCAGCAACGCCGGCACGCCAACCAACACCGCGAGCATCTTGGCGACACCGACCGCGCGCCAATCGAAATCGGTGAGGCAGTAAATCGACGTTAATCGACGGCGGACACTGCCGGTTATTTGCCGCCTTGTGTTAGTCCGTGTCTCAATTAATCTACCATCGAGAATCGATCGCAACATTGTTCTCGCGGTGCAAAACCTTTAATTTTCGAATGCTTCAGTATTATCACACGGCGCAGCGTAATAGAATTAATAATATTTCGGTCGTTCCCTTTGCCTCCTTCCCCCGACATCTTCCGATATTGTTTCCTCAGAGCCGCCAGCTCGGGGAAACTCCGAGTAAACTTTATACCGTGGAACGCGCTCACGTGTATACACGTCGCGGCCCCCAAGATTGATTGGGACGCAGAGTGGGTGAGACGGCGAAGGGGAAAATCGTTTCGTCTGCCTTTCAGATCCGTCCATCGGGCACGTTGCCCGCGGTGCTGGCCGGGGGGCGAAGGGTGCAGCCGCCCGTGCCGCCGGTGCCACCTCCGGCGATGACGTCCCTCCACAGCAGCAACGACAGCGGCTTCTCCAACGAGCCACCGGTGCAGCCCGACGTCGATTACAGCGACGACGAGGCGTTGAGGTAAGTCCAAAATCTACGCCCCGGGCTGCTAAGTCATGTCCCCCTCCCCCCGCTTCTTCGCCCGTGTATATACGTTAGTTAGACGAACTCCCCCATGTATACTTCGTGTAAATTGCAAGCTACGTAAATTATGTAAAGGGAAAACGAGCTTATCGCGTGCGCGCATAGGGAAAAGGCGTATAATTCTGCTGATCCTGTTTGTAAATAGTGTTCGGGGCAATAATCGATTATGGTATAAATATCGGGCCAGATCACCCCCGTGATATAAATTCGGGGATTGTACATAGATAAATCAATAAGTACATCTAATGAAGAAAAAAAATCTCCCCTTTTTCGGCCCGAGTCATTTTAGCCAAAGAGATCGAGTTTACGTAGCTTACACGGTCTACACGGATCGGACCGAATAGAATTTTGCTGAATTCAAATCTCGGTGGGACACGGACGCGAAAATGCGATTCTCTTCGTTTACTCGTGACGATATGAACGGTAGTAATTGGTTCGCGGCTACCCAGCGTGTCTGCATGTGTAACATCGGATACTGACCTCAGCATAATTGAGCCGGTTTCGAGCCTTGGTTTACATCAGTTACATGTAGACTACCATTATTCATCCGCAGACGTCCGATACCAGGCAAATCACTTATTACTTGGTACTTTGGGCCCTTTGATACCTTCACTTCCCCACGGACATCACGCTCTGATAACTAGCCGATAAGCGCACCCCCCCTCCCCTTTTCCATCCCTCACCCACACTCGCTTTGCCCTATTCAGCGTGATTGAAGCTTTGTATCATTGTAAGCTCCGCTATTCTGCTATCTACTGGCCTCCCTGTAATTAGTGCGATTTTCACCCCTCTTTCGCCCCTCCCTCGGCACTCGATTGGATTGGCTCGCGACGCTATTGTGAGGAATAAAAATTCGACGGTGGTGGATGCTGCGGGCACACGCGCGCGTTTTACATTCACATACGTGCCCCGGCGTCGGAAAAAAAAACTGTGATTAATTTCGGATAAAGCGAGATCGAATTGTCACAGACCTTCAATACCGGTTGCGAATAGAGTCAACTTTTCTTGCTTGTTTGATTGCTGCGCGCATGATAGCTGATTGTGCGACATGATACCTATCTATATTATTTACGATTCAAGTCAAAGTGTGTTTAGACACTTATTCGGTTTGTGCGGTTTATTGGTGTGATTATCTTTCAGAAGATCTTAAAATCTACGGAAATGTTACAAAATTTGCGATAGCAGATTGATGTTAATGTTGTAGAATACGATCGATATGATGTCATTTTTATATATTTTTCAAGTTGAATTTGAATGTCACAGATGTATATTATCGTTCATGGATATTATCGCCCCCCCTTTTATTTCCTTCAGTCTGAATAAAAAAAAGAGTTTTTTATTATATATTTGCCCAAGACCTAATTATGACTGTTGTTATATATATATTTATTACACGATCTTTACTGATTTCAATATTGCATGGATATCAAATAATATATTGTTCTATCTATGCCATATTCTTTACCTATGATTTCGCTACATTTTGGTCATGAATATCGAATTTACTTTCATGCCTTCAATAACTTTCTTGAAAGCAATTGTAAGCGAATTATTTTTATTTTATTTTTTTAAAATGGATTTTTGCTGAACTTTTTCTTCGGTCGCTCATCTTCTACTCGGAAAATTTAGTTATCTCTGTTTCTTCGAAATTGTCTCTCCTTCTTGTAGATACCGCATGCGCTATCGTGGTCGCTGGAAATAAACCGCCATGGTGGTGGTCCTCCGCATCTCCAACAACCTCCCTCTTTCTAAATCCCTCTCTTCCGCGTCCCGGTTTCTTTTTCTCTTTTTTTTACTGACCGCGCCGCGCACGCAGACGGCGCCGCAAGCCGCGCAGCGGAGGGGATCGTCCTTCCCCGAAGGACGAGAAGCGGTCGAAGGACTGGGAGAATGACTCCTGGAAAACGATCCCGCGGGACGAGAAGTCCTGGCAGCTGTATCGCACGGCGATGGACCTCTGGGCGGAGTCCAAGGCGAACCAGACGGGCGATGATCACTCGAAGAAGTACTTCGAGATGGAGAACGGCGATTTCGCGTTGGAGAACGGCGACATGGCGAAGAAGAGGAAGAACAAGAAAGTCGCGCAAACACCGAACGAACGTCCCAGCCCGAATCAGCGCACCAAGATGACGGACGAGCGTGGTGCCCCGGCCGCTACTCGTCGTGGCGGCGATCAGCGACGCGTCGACAAGCGGACGCAGGCGGAGACCGAGGAAGACGAGCTCGAGGAGGACGAGGAGGATTTTAGCACTGAATATCGCAGCAACAACAAGTTCTACGCGGACAATCAGGAGGCTCAACAGGAGCGAAGAGGAGGAGGAGGAGGAGGAGGAGGAGGAGGGGGCAATTTCGAGGCGGAGAAATACGCCAAGTCCACGAGCTCGTCGTCGGACTCGGACGACGAGAGCACCATCACCATACCAGAGCCGGGCCGTAAGGTCGAGCACATAGCGCAGAAGCTCGAGCAGACTGCGCAGAAGTACGCGCGCGAGCACAGCCCGCCCAAGTTCCTCGACCGTCGCGAGAGATCCGCCGCGAACGAGTACAAGAGCCTCGAGAGAGAGACGCGCGAGGCGGCTCTCTCGCGCGACCGTCGCGAGAGGTCCGCGATGGAGTACAAAAGCCTGGAGCGCGGCCGAGATGGCGACCAGAAGAGCATGGATTCGGCTCGCCGCGACGATAAGATGCGTTTACGCGATGACAAGCGTGCGCGGGACGACAAGCACACGCTCGAGCGGAGCTCCCGCGAGGATAAACCGAATTTCGAGCGCGCGCGGGAAGATAAGCAGAGCTTCGAGCGCTCGAGGGAGGAGAAACAGAACTTCGAGCGCACGAGGGAGGACAAACACGGCTACGAGCGCTCGAGGGAGGATAGGCAGGTCTTTGATCGATCGAGAGAGGACAAACAGAGTTTCCAGCGTGCCCGGGAGGACACGCAGTCGTACGAGCGAGCCCACGCTCGCTCCAGGAACGAGCAGGAGCGCGCGTATATGGAGCAGCGGAAGGAGGTAATGGGTTACGAACGAACGTTCGAGAAGAATCGCAACAGAACGGTCGAGCGATTATCCAGCCGACGATTCGAGCGACCGCGGCCGCCGTCGCAGGAGGCACCGGAACGACCTTCGATGGGCCCCTACCGAGAACGTAGATATTCCGACAAGGAGGAGGCGATTTACGGGGAGACCGGCCGATACGGGATAGGCTCGCTCGAGCGAGATCGCGGTTACGAATCAAATTTCGAGACAAAGTTGGAGAGAACGAAGGTGATCGAGAGACACGGTTACCAAGAGGGTCTGCAGGGTCCAGGTCTTCAAAAGCGAAACGCCGTACCGAGGATCAACGAGCGAAGCAACGGCGACACCAATAACAATACGCTGAAAGTCGAACGGAAGTCTGCACTGCCGCGGCAGGCAACCGCCATGGGTCACCTCGTGCAAACCGGAAGAGCCTTCGACGAGTCGAAGAGCCCGAAGCTCGTGAAGCGGACCAAGTCCTTCTGGAAGTTCCGCCGAGATTCGGAGGTGCTGGAGGGTATGGCGCTCTGGCAGCACCGCTCGCTCGTGGACATCCCGAAGATGATCCGCAAGGAGGACAAGACGGCGGAAAACGAGGAGCGGCAGAGAAACTCCGAGGGCGGTAGTCCGAACTCGAGTCTGGGCAACAGCGAGGGCACCATCACGAACGAGCACCGGAACGAGGAGCCCAAGCCGGCCGAGAGGAGCCACGTGCCCGACAAGATGGATTATTTCGACGACTTCCCGACGCCGGCGGAACGGTCCAAGATCACGGAGAGATCGGATTACAGAATGCCGCAGCAGCAGGAGGAGCGCACGTATTTTGTCGGAAACGTGTCGCGGAAGGCGATCATCGAGAAGGAACGGAGACGTAGTCTCGAGGCGAAGCGGAACATGATTGTGGCCGAGCTGAAGGAGAACAACGAGAGCAAGCGGCACGGGATGGCGCGCGGTAGGAGGAACTACGACGAGGAGGACGCGACGCTGAACTTCAGCGAGACCGAGGCCTCCGACGAGGAATCCACGTACAGCTGCATTGTCATCAAGGACCAGAGCATACCGGAGAAGACGTTGCTACCGAGGACCAAGCTGAGAAGGGAGTCCGACCGAGATAGAAATAACTGCGGGCCCTGGTACGACCTTTGGGGCGTGGACGCGTCCGTCAATAAGAAGAAGAAGAAGCAGAAGCAGCAATAAGTAAAACAATCGTTATGAAGAAGATACTGAAGCTGAACGTATGTTGAGTTTAAATAGATGAAGAGTTGATGTTGATTTTTTCAAGCAGAGATAAAGATATGTCGAACGAAATGTAACAAAGGAAAGAAAGATTGATTATTCAAGACGAAAATTCGTCTCAAGAAGAAAAAGCAATCAACGTCGTATTGTCTTAATAAAAACGATGAAGAAGATGAATAAAACGACGAAGAGAAGCATGCTTTTTTTGTTGCATGCAATTTTATTTTGATTTTTTTTTTTTTAGTTATATGTATCAATAATACGCGAGCGAGGATTAACTGATTCAGACTTGAATCAGCGAACAAACTGGCAATTGTTACCATCTTTGTTATTAGTTACACCTCTTCCAAGTTCTTCCGGTCATTTTGTTTGTTATGAATTTCTTTGTGGCCACCTGTCCATGAGCAAGCCCCTCGAATGATCGACTCAGCATCTCATTGTGATGTGTTTGCATTGGCTAATACCTTCCTAGTGCTTTGTTTCGTCTTCAATTGGCTGTTGATGTTGTAGGAGCTTGCAGTATCGTCGAAGAAGGCGCTCGATACATTTTTGCGACGACTTCTAGGCGACTTACTTCCTCGAAACAGAGAGCGAGCGAAACTTTGCTGGATGATACGCATCGCCATCGTGACTCGTGATTGTTATCCGTCACTACTGCACGCGTTAGCTTCTTTTGGTTATCGCTGGCATAGAGAGAAAGAGAGTGCAAGTCATTCGCTAGATATTATTCGCAATTGTTCCAAACTCTTTTTAGTTTTATCAGTCGCTTCGCGATCGTATCGCCAACCGATTTCAAGTTGCACGTATATTCCGCATATGAATTCAGAATTCAAGATAGCTTTTAGTAAATGTTACTTGTATAATGTTGAAGAACAAGCTGTGACGATGACTGAGTTAATCTTGATTGACATTTTTTTTAGATGTATTTGCTTACGGATATTTGTGGAATCTCTCGAGGGACCTAGTCATCGTCAGATTAGTCAGATTTTAATCGAATTTGCTCGTCCTACAAAAAGAGATCAAACAATATAAAAAAAAAAAAAACGATTGGATGCTAATAAAAAGTCTTCGAAAAAGTCTTCATTTGTATGCTTTTGGAGAAGGAGGTTGCAGCCTCTCCAAAATTTCTATGAAGTTATGAAAATTTCAGCTCGTGATCGCGTTCGCCAATAATTACGGACGCGCATCCCGAGGCCCAAGATTAACCGCAATTAACGCCTTTCAGGACTAACATATTCGCGACTGTGAAGCTGCGAAAGACGAAGACTAACGACCGCTCGGCACCAGCGCTGTCATGAGACAAGCTCTTTTCTTAGATCTCGCGATCCAGTAGCGATCCCGTAACGCGGAGACGGGCGTGTCTCTCTCGTTGAAACTAGTTCCTTCGTCGCGCAGCTCTCCACGCGAGACGAGAATCGACTGCCACGCGATTATTATCTGTCCGCGAATTCCTCTCTGAAGGTGAAATTACGACGCTAACCCTTTCCGTATCCATTGCGCGCCGTATACATTGCATTCGCGTTTTTTTTTTTTCAATTTCCCTCGAATACGCATCCGTTTAGGACACCACGTGGAGCGACATATGGAGACAGCTCGCAGGTTGTCGGTGGCGTTGAGATGAAGCGTTGACACAATTCCGTAACGCCAAACGAAGGGTTAGCATAATTGCGTCAATTTCGCGCTGTTAAATAAAAGATCGATACACAAACTGCGCGTCAGTTTTACGGTGTTAAATAAAAGGGAATCAACTGTCTTAACTGCGAAACGGGTTTTTCCAATGTTAACTGCACGTTAACACAGTTCTACAGTGTCGAATGAAAAGCTCGCACAGTGAAAGTGGTTCAAACTCGTTGCTCGTTATAGTTCCACATAAAGTCGAACTTGAGGTAGACCTTACGAATTACGGATTTGCTCCAATCCCGCCATTCTCGCCCTGAAGTCTTTTAATAGCGGAAACTATAGAGCTCTTCCGACAACTCGTGCGACGAGTTGCGAGACGAGTGAAGAGAAATCGTTGGAACTTCTACACATTTACTATTCTATCAATGTATTATATTTAATATTCCACTTAATATACACTTAATATTTGGTACTGAAAGGGTTAATGTCCGAGAATTTGATAGAATTTAAATTTTTGTGTGTGCAACACGTCACATTTTGAACACGCGTTTTTAAACGTTTTTCAATATTGCATTTTAAAGGTATATACATATGTAGGTATAGATTTAGAGTATATTAAGGTAATATTATTCCAGCGTAATTTAGACGCGAAAACGAAAAGAAGACGTCCATGTTTGGTGCGGAAGGTGTAAGGTGGGTTTTAGGGCAACCACTTTTTTGTAATTTAAAGCGCCGTTAGCGTTAAGAATTCAAGGAAGTCGTAAGGAGGACGAGAGATGTTAATATATTATGAATAATATATTATATAATATATTATATATATAAACGACCGCTCTTGCGAATCTGATTCCGGCGGTTTGGGTTAGGCTAGACTAAAAATAAAGCTGTTGTAATAAGAATCATGTATACATGCGCATATACGTTATATATATATTATTGTTATTATATACACCAATTTTTTAACGTATGCTCGTCAAATTTCTTCGTTTCCTCCTCCTTCTCCTTATCTTTATATTTGTACACTGATTGAATTCTTTACATATATATGCTACATGATACATATAATTTAGATATATGTATTACACTCCAGGCCAAAAATTTTGAGACACTTTAAATATTGACATTTTTGGAAATACTTACTTCTTAAATATTCCCAATTTATCTAATAACTGCAGTTACTGCATCTGAAGAATTATTGTTAAAAATATATTGTTATGGCTATTTGAATAAGTAATCCCAAAAGTATGAATTAAAAAGAAAAATGTTCCAGGTCCAAACTCTGGACCTGAAGTGTATAAAAATTTGGGATACAATATTAATTCTGCATTCGAAAATTTCATCAATGTGACAATTTCGTATAATCTCATACTTTTCTTTTATTTAGATCCCGTCAATAAAATTGAGCTACTACAGACAAGACTGAAACGATTTTAAACTATTCGATATTTTCCACGTCACTCCGACATAAACTTCTATTCTATCGGCAAGACTCCGGCACGTAATCCCGGAATTAAGATACCGCCCTTAGTTCTTCGTAGGAATATTTTAGGAGGAAATCCCACGATCCGTCAGAAGATTAGTCCTCGGCGACTTTTCAGCGAGGGGTTCCGCATTTGAATATCTACCCATCCCTCACCAGGTAAGTGTTCGCCCGCTCATAACGGCGGCGCATTTATTTAAATTAATCGCGGAGCGTTTAATGGCAGCGATCAACGAACGCTTTCACGAGTTCCCGGTGGAAGAGACGAGGAGGACCGGGTCGGTCCGGACGGGCGCGCGCTGCGCGTTTTCTCATTGCTCCCTTTTTTTTCTCTCACCCCGCGGCGCCTTTTCAGACCGCTTAAAGCGTCTGAAAGTTGTATAGGCGCCATTATGCGGCAATTATCGGAAAATCGAAGGTGTCGACCACGCGGGAATTAACGTAATAGCCGCAAGATGCGTTGTATATACGTACACCTATCGGTTTTTCTTTTATCTAACTTTGCTCGAGCAGATTTCTTTGCTCTTTATAAGATAGAAAGCGTATTAAAGGAAATTTACTTGCAAAATATTCAGAAGTTATATTTGCTTAATTCTCAAGTACTGCGAAGTTTTCTTTGATAGTTTTACAATTTTTATTGTCTTCTTAACTCTCTTCCCCACTTGCCTTTGCTTAATTTAAAATAATGATACATTAGTAAAAATAACAATAAAATAAAGCTTATATTATTTATGTATGTAAAATAAATATTTTTACAATAGATTTCTTAACTTTTTTATAATAATATATAATCTTAATTTTTACTATTCTATGTTGCTTTTTCTAACGTTTTCTTTTTTATTAATTTAAAGTAGAGATTGTTTTAAATGACATAATATTATACAAACAGTGCGCTCTTGCCGCCGACTGTCGCTGCCGGACGTTAAACATCAGCAGTATAGGCGTATCTCCTGCGGCGTGTATTAAGCCCGTTTACGATTTTGAGTCAATATGACGCGCGCGTGTGTACGTGCGGCGCACGTGTGCATGTATTTGCGTTACTTTGAACCGCCAAATTCCACGGGCGGCTTTTTGGCTTATGGAATGCGCCAAAGCCGAGCATATTTGCTAAGCGGTTAATTATCATCTGCGGTTGCCCACCCTCTCAAATCCCTTCATGAGCCACCCGGCAGGACGAACGTTCTATCTGGCTGAAAACGGGAAATAATTTGATGAATTATAACATTGTTTCGTCGCAATATTCTTCTTTTCGAAGACATATTTGAGGCAGAAAATAATAAATTAATATATAAATAACTAAATGAAAAAGAATTCTCAATGAAGGATATAAATCTCTTGTTGAAGGTGATTTAAATCGCGGCTAAATGAAACGAGACACATTGCCAATAACGCTATTATGTATGCACCGCTAATTAAAAGTGTAAGTGCATATCAATTAATACACTTATTATTATATTTACAATATAATACATTTATTATTACATTTATTTTAGCTTCTAGAAAACTACAAATTTTTAAAATCTTTTTCTTTCATATTATCCTCTATCTTCATTAACTTCCGATTGAAACCTGAAGCTTTTGCTTTTAAAACGAGTATTTGGGTGCCGTGCCGCACCAATCCTGAAGAAATACTAAAATATCGTTCAGCGGCGAATCCGGGGATGCCTGTCTGGCCGAGTTGATCAACTTGGTCCAGTCGTCGCGATCGGCCACGCGGTTGGTCTCCTCGAATCTGACAACTGGGCCGCGCACCGGATAACCCGTGATCACGCACTGCTGAAGAGGCGCGCCGGAGTTTGTCGGCGACGTCAGGGAACCGACGTAGACGCCTCTCTGGTCGACCGGTAGACCCTGCTCGATCTTTTGGTCCATGGACACCGCCAGCACCCACTCTCTCGCCTCCTCGCGTTGATCCGGCGCGACTCCGACTCTTTCCGGAAGTGGGACCTCCAGCGGAAAGTCGGTGACGCGTAGATCGTCCACGTCTAGGACGTTGCCGTCGCCTTCCTCTTCGATGCACTCCTCCAGATCGAGAAAATGATTGAGGAAAACGAAGGCTTCGCTCAGAAGCCCAGCGGTACGGGCTGTGATACCGGCTTCGTAGTAGTATTTGTCGGCGTAAAGGAGGTCGGTGTACCGCAGGAGGCTGACCGACGCCTTGACCGCGATGCCGGAAAGCGCCGGAAACGAACGGCAGCCGTGCTTCACCGCCGAGAAGTGAGCGGCCTTCAGAAGGTGCTCGAATCTGTCGGAGGACGGTGACGAGCGGTAGAGGCCGTGTAGAACGTCACGGAGTTGGGCCAGATATCTGTCAATCGCGAATGACATTAAGAAATAAAAGTACGAAACAAACATTAATCTCTTCCGCTTAAATATGGAGAATGAAAAAGGTAATGTTTAACTTTAAAAAATAAATAAGTATTATTGATATAGATATTCTAATTTTAATAAAAGAGTAATCTACGAAGATATATTCTGGGTAATAAAACATATCTCGTTAAAAATTGACATTCATATATAATAGAATTTAACAGGTAAACGACGCGATATATTCATGATATGTAGATCCCTTCGTTGCAGTCGCAAAATATCGTACCTGTAATCCTGCTGCGCTGCATTCAGGATATTCTCGGCCAATTGCAGATACAGATTAAAATTCTGCGAGATCGCGGGTGCGCCGTACTGCGCGTAAAGCTGCAACGCCTGCGGCGCGGCGTCGTTCTTCAGCAACTGCGTGGCACGCCGTGCCACAAATCTGTGCAGCACCTCCGGACTCTGCGAGCTCGCGGCGTCGAATACCTGACTCCATTGACCTTTCCGCGCCATCACCTCGAGGGCGGCGTTACCGTCCACTTCCGCGAGCCGTTCCATCTCGCCCTCGTTCGCCATGGCGTCCCGATATTTCTCTTCTAGATACTGCTCGAGATCGGGAGCGAGCTCGCGGACGATTCGCCGCGCGCGATCCCATTCGCCGACCGCCACCAGCGAACTCACTGCGTCCTTCAATCGATCCGCTTGAAGAAACACCTGCAGCGATTGGAAAACGTCATGAATCACAGATAAATGGTTGCGTTATTGTAAGGGGAAAAAAAAATTACCTGAGCGGCGAGCGCGTGTTCACCAACGGAAAACAAACGCGCGCCCAGGTCACCGCCGATTTCCGCCGCCGTTTCGGGATCAGCCTGATGTAAAAGGATGTCGGCCGCACGGATGAGATACGATCTCGGCGCCTGTGGATTCAGAATCAGTGTGTCCAGGGCGGGTCGCACCTCCCCGAGATCTAGCCACTTCCGAGCTTCCTCCAACGCGTTTGCCCCATCCAGTCCCGCGCTTCTCTGACCTAACTCCCTACGCAGTGCCGCCTCTTGACTGGGCAGATATTCTCGACACACTCGCAGTGCCTCGGACCACATTCCGGCTGTCTGAAATGAAAAAATATTTAATATAATTAGATAGGAAAGGTAGAGATATTTGATGGACTTCTGTACATATAAACGTAAAGTTGTTATCAATGTTTGCATGGAAAAACTTTTTCAGCTGCTGCATGGGACTCTGGGAGGGACCAACCTTGTAATGCTCTATTATCATTTCTGGCTTGTGGGCCCTTAGCAGAAGAGTTTCTGCTGTAGCGTAATCTTGCCCTTCGGCGGCCTCACCGGCTCGTGCGATCAAGACCTGTGCCACGGCTTCCTGGCTGTGCGATTGCGCGACGTCCTCGGCGGACTCCCAGTCGCGGCTGTGGATGTACATCTGCACCGCTTCCATAGTTTTGCCGGCCTGCACGAATTCCTTCTCGGCCTCGGCGAAACGGCCCTCGTCCTCCAACGCCATTGCGTAGCGGTAGTGAACCTCCTTCTTCTGATCCACCGTGCCGTACTTGGCGATCTCCAGAGCCCAGTCAAACAAGCTGGCCTCGCACGCTAATTGCAGACACGGCTCCAAGTAACCGAGTCGCATCAGAAGTCTCGCGCCTAGTTCTGGTGCCAACGTTCGAGCCCACATCAAAGCAACCTAAGGAAAGGAGGGATAAAATTCAGTGTCAAAGAAGAATTAAAAAAAAAACCAATTTTCCAATGTATAAATCTCAACCTGCTGCGCTGCCTTTTCTCCCGAAGCCTTCTTGGCGACTCTCAGCGCATCCTCCCACATGTTCGCAGACCTGTAAGCTGTAACCGCTCCGCGCCAGTCGCCAGCACCTAAGATAGAACATAATTTACGCGTAAGCTAAATAAAATTGTAAATTAAACGTTTTAATCTTTTATATAGGTACGTCCAGCACTGATCAATATAACTTATACAATGATAGAAAAATATTAAACTGCGGTCGACTGCAGCGAAATTTTACGTGGTTGGTAGACGCAGTCGAGATCCGCAAGAATCAAATTGAAGGAAAAAAGAATAATTTTTTTTTAATAATTTAAAAATAATTTAAGTCCAAAACCCCGACCTAAAAAGTGCTCTTCAGCTTCTCTCGGCTTGCCGGCTGCATCTAGTTCTCTCGCCAGATGCGTGTGAGTAGTCTGAAGTAAATCTGGCCGATGCTGCGCGACTAATCTAATCATGTCGCTGCGATTTCCCGCTTTGCGATACATAGCGATTGCCGCGTCGTGATCGCCGATCGCGACATAAAGAGACTCGGCGTGACGGAGCTCGCCGGTCTGGTGCAGGTTGTCGGCGTGCTTCGCCAGCACCTCGTTGGCCTCGTCGCCCTTCATGTATTCCTGGGCAACCTGGTGCGCACGCATCCAGTCGCCCGACTGGATGTGAATCTCCACGGCGCGTCGGGAGTTTTCGGCGCGAATGAAGAGGCTCTCCGCTAAGCTCCGTTCGCCGATCGACGAGAAATATTCGGCCAGCTTTTCGCATTGCTGACGGATCTCCGGATCATCGTCCTCAATCACCTGAAGGAGAAAATGTGGAGAGAAAAAATGTAGTAAAAAAAATCTAATACAAAATAGAAATAGGCAAATAGTATAATAGTACAAGGAGAGAATTTTCTTTTAAAATTTACTCTGAAAATCATGTTAATTGTGAGACAATATAGTATTTAGATAAATTTTACTGTGCACTACAATAAATTTACTGCGAAATCTTATTGTAGTGCACAGTAAAATTTGCCTAAATACTATATTGTCTCATAATTAACATGATTTGCAGGGTAAATTAAAAAAAAATTCTCTCCGTGTAGATGAACAAGATAAGCGTTAAGCATGCTATTACTGCACCTGAATAATCTGTAAAGCCTTTCTCCACTGTCGCGCGTTGATAGCGGCCTTCAGTGCTAATACAGTTTCTCCTGCCTCGATGAAGTGATTGATAGCGGCGTCGTAGTGACCACTCGCTGACAGATGTTTTCCCCAATCTCTTTCGAGTTCGACCACCGAGGTGGGATCGATTTTGCGCGCCAAGTCGAGAGCTTTGGCAAAGACACCGGCCTGGGCGTAACACTTAATCGCCTCGGAACCGGCGCCGGTCTTCTCCAACAATTCTCCAGCGAGTTCCGCGAGGTCGGTGGCCTTAAGGCTGCTAATGATCTCTTCGACGATTCTTTCGTCCTCCAGTAACTCATTGTCGGCAAGCACCAATCTGGCGGCTCGTCCGGGTCGGCGAGCCTCCAGATAAAGCTTCACAGCTCTCTTGGGATTTGTGGTCTCTATGATGGAAGCCGCGCGGGCCGCTTGGCCACTGTCCAGCAGCCAAGCCAAGTGACGGTCCCGCAGCTCTGATAAACCACTCCAGTTACGACTCTGGGCTAAGTTTAGAGCATCTTCCCAGCGCCAGTAGCGCTGGTACATATCTAACGCTTTGTCCAGTTCATTCTGCTCCAAATAAATTGCCTCAGCGGTTTTCAGGTCACCATTCAGTATGGCCATTCGGGCCCAACAGTCCGGACTGGCCAGTGGTTCGTTGCCCGTCTCCTTGGCGTATTTTTCACCAATCTTGAAACATGACGAAGAAGAAAGCAAAAATATATTACTGTGTCTCAAAAGGGAGACAAAGATATAACATAAAACAAGAAAAAAACCTCGGCAGTCTCTTTCAGAAATTTCGCGCAAGCCACGTCGCCCATCGCAGCGTAACACCTGGCAGCTATCGCGAGCTTTCTCTCATTCATCGCGTTCCTGGCTACGTTTTCCCACATGGTCTCCACCTGCGGACCGTCGCCCATATTCTCCAGGAACAGGATGACTCTGCCAAAATCGCTGTCATGCAACGCAGTGCCGAACTCGATCAGTCCTTCGTCCAACTGATATGCCACTTTGACACCGTGCTCCTCCACCATCACGGACGTTCGACCGTCCTCTCGGATAATGTCCACTATGTCGCCCTTGATCGACGTCAGTGTAACGGCTTCTGGCGCATCCACGTTGTACCAAACGGCCAGGGTTTGACCTGTTTGAGCGACGAGAACGTCGCTACCAGTAACCCAAGATGCAAAGGATGCCCCTGTCACCAACAAGACTCTGCAGTACCGTAAAATAAAGAGTGATTAAAAAAATCTGATATAATAATTTTAATACAAAATTACGAAAGTTACATTTATGCAAAAGATCAATCTTTTTATATATATTATATGCTCTTTGTTTAGATAGAATTTATAGTTATTCCACTAAATAAATTAGCCATTTCATGACTCCTTTGACGATAATAATTATCTCGAGACAAGATTGTTTTTCATAATTTTGCTTTCAATTTGATTTGACAGATAAGAAAGATCTTTTTATTCATATTGACATTGGGTACTTTATAGACTATTACCTGTCACCCTCATCATCGCTTAGCCAAAGACGACCTCGCTTGTCGCGCGATAGCAATCTATGACCAGCCTCGCTGAGCTCCAACCAATCGATGCGAGCATCATGGACGATCGTGTTGATGGTCGCACCAGATAGCAGGTCAATCACGCGAACAGTTCTGGGATCCAGCAGATAGGCCAACTTCTTGTTGTCTTCGCCGCCAACCGAGGGACGTTCGTTCACGCGCACGCTGACCACGTGCGGGTTCACCGCCTCCGTTCGCACGGAACCAAGCGCCTCGTTTTGACCATACTCAACGATCGTTAGTTCGCCTGAGCAAAAGATCAGGCATACGACCGGATACTCGAAGAAAAACTTTTCATTGCCGGACCGGTCCTCCCACGGGATCTCGCTGATCAGACCTAGCTCAATATCGCCGATCAATAAAGTGCGCGCTGTTCGAGCAACCACATTGTTGTCCCTGCGACCTAGAACACGTACATCCTCGATCTCTTGACCCGTCTGCGACCTGATGATGATGGGACGCTGCGAGGAGTCGCTCAGAGGCCGGATCACTACCTGGCTGGGACCCACGTAGGCGACCTCGTGACTGCCGCGGACCACTGTGCGTCTGAAAAACGAAGAAATACATAAATGGTAAAATAAATAGATTCTTCTACTCTTCAATAACAAAAGTTATTCGGCAAACAAAATAAAAAAGACGTATGCATTAACTGTACACAATCCTAAGAAAAGAAAGAGCAAAAGTTAAAAAGTATTAAAAAACAAATTGTTTTTTCCGAAACGGCTGCGGTGAAAAAATCGGGATCAGCACGATTAATTAGCGACTAAACAGGAATTAATTTCTACATAAGTCCCAGTCGATTGTGCTGAAGAGGCTGCGAGAACTTTAATCTCAAATCTATCATAGCCATTGTTTTTTCCGAAACGACTGAAGAAAAAAATCGTGGTTTGCAGCAATCGAATGAGTCTCGCGTAGAAATTAACTCTTTTTTAATAACTGATCAATCTGATCGCGTAAATCCCGATTTTTTTCTACAGCCGTGTCAGAAATAACAATAGCTGCGCTAGCTTTGAGATTAAAGATCTCGCATTCACTTCAGCACAATTCAATGGGTTTGCGTAGAAATTAATCTTTTTTTAGTCACTAATCAATCCCGCAAATCCCGATTTTTTTCTTCCAGCCGTTTCGTAAAAAACAATAGCTATGCTAGCTTAAGATTAAAGCTGACACATTCAGCCACTTCATGCAGTTACCTCAAAATAGTCTCAAACTGCTCGACGCCGCCGCACAATCCCCCAACCACCAGCTTCGAGCCGTCTCGTCTCCAGGATAACGCTGTGACGGTGTAGAAGTTGGGCAAGTCGCGCACGTTGGTCTCTTCCCAGACACTTCTACGTGGTGTCCAATCGAAGATACGCACTTTGTCCCAAGAGCCTACGGCGACGCTCTGGCCACTTGGGCTGCAGCAGGCCACAGTGATCTCTCTCTCTTGGGAGTCCCGACTGAAGTCAAAGGTTTTGACCGGCTTACCGTACGGGTCGTACATGGTCAGCCGTTTGTCGCAACCTGCTGCCAGGATGTGCGACTGCGGCCATGCCAGGGCGTAAGCGGGCACTCCGTGGACACACACGCGTCCCGACGGTTCCGCGTTGCCGTCTTCGGCGATGTAGTACCGGATAATGCTGCCGTCGGCATGGCTCGACAGGAAGCCGCTGCCGCGGACGCTGCAGGTCGAGAAAGGTCATGGACGTGTTAAATACCAAGTATCACTACTGATTTTGATTGTGTGCATTAATCGAAATATCTCAAAACATAGCTGATAAGCCGCGTCAATTTACTTGCAAGCCAGAGCTATTGTCATAGCGTCGGAGGTATATAAGGTTTGCGCCTTCTGCGACTTGATCATAGCCGCACGTACTTTCCCATCCGCCAATCCTACGATAATCGGACCGTCCACTGGCCAGATCAGGCAAGTCACCGCTGCACTTTGTTTGAATTTGTTGCAAATTACCTTTTTGTCACCCCTGAAAAATGATTGTTGTTATTAACAATTTATTTTGATTAATTTTTTTTCTCTGAGAATTTATATAAATATTATAAATAATTATATACCAATCCTCTCCTATTTTGTAAACGTATACAATGCAGTCGGTTTGGCCAACTGCGATCTTCGTCGACTCTGGAGAGAAGGCTATTCCCTTTACCATGTAGCTCTTCTTGCCAAACTATAAATAAAGAAAGGATGTTACTACAGTTTTTTAAATATTTTTCTATAAATTTTAAATTAAAAATTTTTTTTTAATTGCAGAAACGACCGGTATCAATAAACTAAAAGTACAACTTTGAGAAATATATGAATACCTTGGGATCGACAGGCTTAGTGGAGAATCTATCGCGTTTCACACCATTCTCATCAAAAAGATAAATGGAACGATCCGAGGATGCTACGGCCAGCTTTAAGTTGTTTGGTGACCATGCTATGCCAACCACTCTGTTTTCCAACTCCTAACATGCACGTTTGTATAAATATGTAAATGTGGGAATAAATATGGGAATAAAAAGTTATCTTCTGCCCGAGAGTAACACTGAAATTTTTCACATAAAAGTTGCCAACAAATTTTGAAAAAAAATTCGCTCGTCTCTATTCCTAATAATTCTCGAAAAAAATACATTAATATTAACCCATTCTGCAGATATGTACATATACGCAGATGTTCCTCAGAATCTCAAGATAAAAAAAAGCGTAGATTTAAAATAATATATAATATTCTACTCACCTGCGCCGGCATGACGGTACCTAAATATTTTAGCAGCATGCTGATTCAATATTATTCTCAATTATTCTAATAATATCATTTACAAGCATTAATGTACAGTACTGACATAAAACAGGTGTATGCCGTTCGTGTATACGTGTCGGTTGCCTGGCGACGGAACTCCCACTACGACTACGCTGACCTTTCAGAGGAAAGGTAAGCGTATAATTAATAATTAGATAAAAGAGTATTCATTGAGGAGAAAAAACGAAAAATATAAAAAAATTTAGCCGCAAGAAATAAATCTTACGTATTTGACATTCGGAAATTATTGAACATGCAGATAGAGATATAAAATTTCAAAATTACATTGCTTATTTTATAGCATCTATTTTATAATATCTACATTATCTATATATCTAGCGACGCATTTTCTATCCAATGACAACTATTGTTTTTAAACTGACGAACGTAATTGTATTTATTTCTTCAATAAAAGTAATACATTAAATTATTTCTATTAAATACATAAAATTATTTCTTCAATATAAAGACTTTCTTGAATAAGACTAGGTATGTTTTCGATTAGTTCACTATTCGTGAATTATTGTACACTCTTTGAACTTAAAGTGAAATAAGTACATGTTTGATATTTGACAAAAACGAGAAAGAAAGCTTTAAAGTTTAAAATATAGAAAACAGATGTATTAATTCAAAATTGAATTCTCCAATGATCGGCACTCGACAGACGGCGCTCACCGCGTCTTGTTATCTCCCGTAGAAAATCAAAGTATCGCGCATGTGAATGATCGGATTTTTCATATTTATTGTTTAAAACAACATCTCTTCATGCACAACTCGGCTCTGCGAGTCTTTAAACGGTGCGTGCGAATTAATGTATTGTTGCTCGATATGTGTCATGTTATGCTTTGCGTGAATTCTTAGGTTAACGGAGCATAACCTCCAAATCTATTTGACATTCTTGACTTGTTATATAAAAATAGATTGACATTTTACATAAATAATATATGCCTACGTGCCAGTAACACAAAATAAGTAGACAGTAATGATAAGAATAAGATATAATTGTAATAAGTGCAAGCAGAACATTATCTCTCTCCTTTGGAATTTCTCTGACGTTTAAATAAGGTTTAATACATTAATTTTTTAATAATTTTTGTTACACTTTGAATATAATTAATTATTATAATTGAATATAATTTTGACATTATTTTTTAACATTTTGTGCGGTGTAAATGGCAGCAAAAACATGTATTATCCAGAAATTATAATGTCATGATTTTTTGCATTATAATTACATGGAAAATAATTTGTTTTTACCGCCTTGACGATTTATTTATCTATCCACATCCATCTTTCAGGTTCTACGAACCGTTGCTAGGCACTGCAACGGTTGAAGCAAAGACCTGCATAGATTCGTTGATCATCAGACACAAAATGCAAATAGCAATGTTAGACGACGAGAAGTTGAGAGACTTGGATGTTCCTGCGCAAGAGGAAATTAATTCGATATCCTGGCTACGCACTGTGGCTCCTGCCTTTCCAGTGAATGGCTCGAAGGTAAAACAATTACGTGTGCAGTCTGTGGTTGTGAATATATTTTATTTCAACAAGAATGTTTCTCCCAATAGGTCACTATAATTCACAAGCCACAAGTGTTCTATAGCACTTTGTTAGAAAAATGCAGGCACGCCAAGAAGAGAATCACATTAGCCTCATTGTACTTGGGCACCGGCACCTTGGAGACCGAGCTGGTGGGTATAATAGAAACAAATGTAGCATTTATAACAAAAACCTGGTGAGATAATTATTTTGAATAAAAAATCAGCAATAATTCACTATGAAAGTTACAGTAAGAAAGAAATGTGAAGAGAAGATGAAGATTGAGGAATGGAATGTAGTTAATTTTCTACTTTTCGAAATTGATTTTCTTTATTTTGGAAAAATAAGGTCATGTTTTTTTGCACAGGTGAGGGTGATAGAACAAGCAATGAGCACGAATGGCGGCAATGTCCAAGTACGAATCCTGCTGGACTATATGAGAGCCTCCCGGGGCAAGCAGAATTCCCGAAAGATGTTGGAGCCGCTGCTTAAGGGCAAATGCGGAGATCGCTGCAAGGTTTTCCTCTACCACACGCCGAAACTGCGCGGTGTGATGAAAGCGGCAATCCCGGATCGCTTTAATGAGCTCATTGGTTTGCAACACATGAAGCTGTACATGATTGATAATGACTTGATCATTAGCGGGTAGGCTGGAGTTATGATTATTATTCACAACAATTAATTGAAGAAAAAGAATCAGAATTATATTAAAATTAACAGCAAACGAGAGAGAGAAAGAGAGAGAAAAGAATATTGGATATTCATATTTCAAATATTTGATAATAAAGTTATTTGAATAGTGTTTGAGATTATCGACTCGTCTCTCTCACGCAAATTTTGTCTTAACGAACATAAAAATTACATTCAAGACCAAGAAAATAAATAGCTTAAATATGAGATATACATAGCATATATTTTATACTTTAAAACAGTTATAAAAATATATTAAAAAATTATTTTATGTTAGGGCGAACCTCAGCAATGATTACTTCACGAATCGACAGGATCGGTACTTCGTTATAGAAGATTGTGAGGAGCTTTGCAACTTCTATAACAAATTGGTCGAAAAAGTCATGGAGTTTAGCTTTTTGTTACAACCCGATGGCAATACGAGCTTGAATCCTACTGTAAACTGTCATCCTTACAAAGGATCCGGTAAAGTCTTTACCCAAGAAGCAACGTCCAAGATACATACATTCTTACAGAATGAAATAAAAAAGAATGCTGAACTCAATGAAGGTACACTGACAATTATTTCATATAATTTCATTCAAAGTGAAAATATTGAAAAATATTCTTTTCCGTCTAAATTAAAAAGGACATTATTTCGAGGTCACAAATAGGTTATTTAATATTATACTACAGATGCAGACACGTGGGTATTTCCATTAGTGCAAATGGGTCAGTTGAACATTTATCACGACAGCGAAGTAACATTGAAGCTCTTGCAAGCTGCTCCAGAAGGAGCGACGCTCAAATTAGCGACCGGTTATTTCAACCTGACCTCTGACTACAGTCAAGCTGTGCTTGGAGATTGTCGGGCAACATGTCACTTTTTGACAGCACACCCCACCGCCAATGGTTTTTTTAGTTAGTATGTCTTCATTAGACATTACACAAATAACGTAAATTCTTTAAGTCCTAACATTTAATATATATTTCACGTAAATCATAATTTATAGATCATTTGTTGCGTCACGATTTTATGATTTATTTCCCTTTTCTCAAAGATCTGTATAGTTGTAGAAGTTAATAATTATTTTTTTTTCAATCACTTCAAGATGCCAAGGGAATTGCTGGAGGAATACCAGCGGCGTATACCAGGATAGAGGAATCCTTTTATAATTTATGCGAGAGAATGAATCAGCAAAGAAGGATAACATTATGGGAATTTGTCAAACCGGATTGGACGTACCATGCTAAGGGTCTTTGGTACATTTCGCCAGGTCAGCGAAAACCCTCGTTGACCCTCATAGGCTCGCCAAACTTCGGTAAGGATAAGTTGTTATTTTATTTTGGATTTTAATCTTAATATGACTGCAACAAATGATCTTTCTTGAGGATTTTCGACACGACTAAAGTAAAACATGGATGGTTTAGGTTACAGATCGGTGAATAGGGATCTCGAGACGCAGATAGCTGTGGTAACAAAAAACGAAAAGTTGCAAGACGCGCTGCACGAAGAGCAGACGCGATTGTTCTCCTGTGCTAAACCTGTCACGAGAAAGACGTTCTCGCAACAGGACAGAATACCACCAGCCTGGGTATGCGCAGTTGTACTCTTTTTTCGCTATTACTTTTGAGGCCAAAATGCCTTTGCGAGAAAAGGGAAATCCCGTATATTCTGAATTTATTTATATAGTTTAATTATAATTACAACATATACAATAAGTACAGGATTTTGCATTAATATTTAATTGATACACGAACGATGAAATTGTCCACATGAATTTTTATCCCTAGACATTTTTATTGTATATAATTTGTAATTATTTAAAATGTTTTTTTTTTATAAAGACTTCGTTTATAGAACACAATTTTTCTATGCACGGAATAAAAAAAAAGTTGTTTTGGGATTAAAAGGACTGAATTCTGAAATTAGAATTCTGGGGGTTTATGGCGTTTTGCAAATTCCAAAAATTATCTTCATTTCGTAAGTAATAAATTAGCATTTTATTTTGTAAATTTGCCAGGAGAAATTGTGAAATTAGTGACGCGATTATTTCCTCGCAGGTTATCCTGTAGGGTATGTGATAGAATTTGATATTGCTACGATGTCGGCGTTTTTTATGCCGCATCAAATATGTAAAAATTATTTTAAACCGGGCGAAATAGTACTGATAGTAGCGGTAATGGTAGCAGTAGCAATAACAATAATACAAGATTGATTGTCTGTTGCCACTCATGGTTCACGGATTAGAGATAAATTGCAGCGATATTCGATCGCCGCAAACGACAAATATATCGCGACACCTTGCAAACGGCAGCAGATGTTTGTTGCACACTTTTAAAGAGATTTCCAAGACCGGGAATCAGCACGGCGATTAACAAGTGTCCGTGAAAGACAGGTTTACTTGTCGTCGATCACGAACGTTTCCTCCTTGACGAAAAATTCAACAACTTCTTCCTCCACGTTCTTCGAATCTGAGTCCAATTCATCAGTATCGATATCTGAAAGTGCACAAACGCGACGATTAATCTCTCGAATCATCAGAAGTATTATTTTTTCAGTATTAATACTGCAGTTTTCTACTGCAGTAATTAGGCAAGTACATATATATATATATATATATATATATATACTTAGCATATATCTTTTAATATATATATGTACACACTGTGAAATCAGTATACTACACTAAAAAACCAATTATTTATACTATAGTATATATATACTTACTGCAACGTAACTCCAGGCGACGCTTCTTCTGATTGTTCCATTCGTCGATACGCTTGGTACGATACTCTTCGAATGCCTTCATCAGCAAGCATCGTTTTTCGATCAATTCCTAGAAAAATTAATTACTCGTTAAAGTAAATTACTATCCAGATCCATGAGAATTTTAGAAGATTTCGCTATGTATAAATGATCTCGTTATTTTTTATAATCGTGCACATATAAAAATTGAAAAATTCGTAATATATTGGAACACTTGAAAAATATTAGTAGAGAAATTATTCCTTGCATATCTAGCGTTAGATATATTTAATACATGTTATAATGTATAATGCACATATAAAAATTGAAAAATTCATAATATATTGAAACACTTGAAATATATTAGTAGAGAAATTATTCCTTACATATCTAGCGTTGGATATATTTAATACATATTAATAATAATAAATGTACCTTTGAAGCACGCGTCAGTCGCATGCGATCCTTGCTCTCGAATTGCGCCGAGTATCTCTTCAAGTTCTTCTTTATCTCCTTGATCTGCTCCGCGGTGAGCAGAGTCGGAGGTCGCGGCCGCCACAGCAGCTGGTTAAACGCGGTCAGGTTGACTCTCTTCAGAATACGACCCTGGAACGTCCATATCCAGTAACCGTTGTCAACGCTGGTCTTCCAGCTGGACACTGCCGTGACGACGTATCTGAAATTAATCACGAAGAGAAAATTAACTTCTTGCTCACAGACATGTAAGATGGACTCCACATTGGCTGGATTTTCCGATAAAAGGGATATCCTTGGTGGTGAGAAACAAAATAGCAACAATGGCTGCACGCATGCAATAGTAAAGGATAAGACACTTTAAACGCACCGTTGCGTCATAGACGCGTACATACAGCCAGTGTGGAGAATATCTTTTATGTCTATGTTCTTGCTATTGGCTTCTGTTATTTTTATATTACGCGGCTGTTCTAGTCTTTTGAATCTACCTGCCAGTCGGGTCCCATTCCACGTCCGAAGTTTGATAATGATCGGTGGAGTTCATAATGGTGAAATCGTTCGTGTCGATAAACTCCAGAGCGCCGGCCATCGTCGTCAGGCCGGCGAGGACGATGAATTGACCAGACGGCGACCAGAACAGGTGATTGCAAGCCTTCTTCTCTAATCTTTCTGTTGAGGAAGAAGCAAGCCAAACGTTGAAGCAAAAACTAGCTAGCTATTAATTTAATGTAAAAAAATTAAAAGCAATTTTTATTATAATTGCTTACTGAGAAGGGCGGGCTGATGGCCATATCGCACTTCGTAGAAGCTGACATTCACGGTGGGTATCTCCCCGTGAATGATGGCGAATTTGCTGCCAACCGGCTCCCACGCGAAAGCGTGTATCGGCTCCTTTATCTCCACACTGTCCACGGGAATTTGCTTCTCCCTCATGTGGAAGATTTCGAAGTTGTATGACATACCCTGTAATGTAAAATACGAATATATTTAATAGCAATTATATTTTCGAAAATAAAATTCAAAACTTGCCAGGAAAATACCAAAATTGTACATAATTTTAAATATAATTACAAAAGTGTATATAATTGTATATAGTAAATAATTAAATATATCTCGCGCGAAAGATCGACTACATTAGTCAACTCACTGTGTATTTTTGCTCGGTCTTCTCCTTGCGTTTAGCAAAGCGGTCAACTTTCACGCACAGGTAATCACCAGATTTTTGCCAGAAGATCTTGCAGTCAGCTACGTTGAACAAATTCTTATTTCTTGTTTCATTGCGGCTGAAAGTCGAACATTTTTTGGTTAAAAAAAAATTCATTTATGCCGACAATTTAAATGTGATTCAAGGTTAAAGACTCACTTAGGAATTTCGAGCAAAGTTACCCTCGCGGGAACATCTTTATCTTCTGGCACCCAGTAAGCAAGAACGTTATCCGTCGGAGACCAACTGAAATCTCTGATTCCTGGGATCTTGATGCTCTTCTTGTCCAGCAGACCGAACGACTAAAAGATTAAATGCAATAGTGACGATCAAGTTGCAAACTTACTGTAATAAGCAATAAATATGCCTAATTTCCATCAATGTAGACTGACTTTAATCTCAGTTCAACTTACTCTTCATTTTTTCCAGTTCTAAGAATTGGAAAAAGATGGAGAATAAGTTAAATCGAGATTAAAGTTAATCTTTATTGAACGGGCAAAAATTAAATAATTAATGTTAAATATCGTAAACTGAGGAGAGTACTTTTCAGTTAAACATGAAAGGTACTCACTGGGGTCTCGTAAACACTGAGAACGTCCTCTCCCATGCGCGCCAGATATTTATCGTCGTGCGACCAACGGAAGATCGGCCAGACGGAAGAGCCATCGGGGAAGAACGATCGTTTCTCTTGGTTCGACAGGATGTCCCAGATCACGAGGCGCTTCTGATCCTGGCCGAGATCCGTGCGCGGCGTGTAGGTGACTAGGTAACGCTCACAGGGCGAAAAGTCGATGCACTCGACACCTCGCTGACTGAATCTGGCCTGCTGGGTGAACTGCGGGCCACCCCACAGCGCGACTCCCAGCTTGTGGAACGTGGCCAGATACGTGCCTAGCGGTGACCATTTGACATACGTCTCCGTCCAGCGCTGGAATTAAAAAAAAAATCGTTTTATTGCAACAGCTTTTCGTAGCAAATCCATTATGTAGTTACAATTTCTTCATAAACTGCATAAGAAATTACACCCATCAGAAAATCTCTGTAAAAGCTTTCTCTGCCTTCCAACCACTCACTGATAAAACAACTTACGTTACGTTCTTCGAGTAGGGTGGGCTCTGGTGCAGAGTTTTGCCACATCTGCACCGACACACCTGCTCCATTACCGCAAAGTACACAGAATTGATCGTAAGCGTCCGGCTCCAGCAGATGATAGTGCAAGTCGCTAGCAGCCTTGAAGGGCTGAGCCTTCGGTGGCTCCCAATCCTCGGGAATGTCCTCAAATTTCTTAAAATCCGTGAAGAGATTAACCTTGAACGTGTGAGACTTGTCGATCTTGTAATTGTTGGTAGACTTGACCGCAGTGAGTGCGTTCAAATGATTGTTGTATTCCAGAAAAATGTATCTGTGTCAAAGAGAAAGGATATTTTTCAGAAACAAACATTCTGTAAGATTTTTTAACTTCACAAAAAAAATAAATAGAAAAGTTTTTGATTTTTTTTTCAAATTTAGACAAAATGCAGACTAACCCTTTAGTTTTGCCATCGCTCTCGTTCATCGGATAGTACTGATTGACTATCGGACCGAACTTTCCTAGCACCTTATTAATAACGGATTGAAGCTTCTCCAATTTGTCGGGCTCCACCCGAGGTACATTATCCACGACAATAACAGATTCCACCCCATCCGTTTCCGAAGGTTTCTGCTTCAAGATGTCACCGAGCAGTTCTGTAAGTTCACAATACAGACGTGTGTTTACTGCAAGAACCGTTCGTTCTAACAATACAAGAATCTACGACGTATCTAAAAAATAATACAAATTAAAATAAAATTATCTATATTTATTTGCAATTAACCTTAGGTATACACTGTTTTTTTGGCGACGTCGTATATACACTGAGGTTCCAGGGACCCCACGCTCACTTTAACTGTTTACTGTTTAGTTGTTGAGCGACAATTGTCGCGCGTCAACACATCTTCCTATTGAGATCTCAAACTTTTTTTATGTCAATATCACAAACCCCTTCCCTTCCAATTTTAGAAATGCCAAACTGTGAAAGTTTTGCTGGGGTCCTGGGGACCTCAGTGTGTATATCTATATATAGGGTTGTATACTTATATATAGGGGTGTATACTTATATATAGGGTTAAGATAAGGTAAAGTTTGAACTTTACCCCTTTCACTTTCAATTTCAATTTTGATAAAAATACATTTATTCGACTGCACTTTGGCGTAGAAACAAAGATAAAATTATTAAATTTCTTTCTATTGTTTAAGCGTTTAATTGATGCGTAATCTGCGGCCCACCAGCTCATAGCCGAAAGTATAAAATCATATTCTCAATTTTATGCAAACAAAATGAATATTATAGAGACCGCAAGATATTATTTCTGAAGGTGATCATAAAAAATTGAACGTCACACTGGTTTAAAATATGATTTAAAATGGAAAAAGACAAGCTTTAGAATGATGAATCATAAGAAATTTTGCTTAAATTTTACTGCTTGAATAATCGCCCATTAAATTAATCAGAGTTCGAAGACATGTCGAGTGAGGTAGCCGTTGAGCTCTCTGAAAAATGCATCCTAACAATTGGCATTTTTTAAATACCAAAATTGTGCTGCATAAAGCCGACACGCCGACACCATTGTGGCGGCACGTGGCGCCTGAGATCGTAGTCGCATGTAAAGTAACGCCCAAATGAGCCAACGGCGGGATCTTTTCACTGCGCGTTCGATCGCATGCTCGATCCAACAGGATCACACAGGGCCACATCGCGTGCAGCAGACTCGAAGAATTAAAAAAAGAAAGGGAAGAAATGGCCATAAGGAGGATCCGTTTGTAGGCTAGTGTGCGCCGGTACGCGATGCCGATTTTCGCCGTCATGTCATTCCGCAAACCGGAAGTTTCTCGGGATCATTTCGCTGCGAAATCGGCGAAATCGAGCGATTTTCGAGAAAAAAAATCGCACGTGCCGCATCGTGGGGCGCGCGTGCCCCTGCTCACACATATGCGGAGACGTGACGAGAGCAACGACAAGTGCAACGTGTCCTCGTGCTGGCGGCGAGGTTGGAAGAACAAAAGAAAAATAAAGAAGCGAGTGGATACTTGCCCTCGTCGCTGATATCGTCGACGAAGCCCTCGGGATCGCTGAAGTTGGGTTCCTCATCGTCGTTCATCGGATCGTCGTTGCCCTTGGCGGTCTCGTCGTTCTGCGCCGTCTTCTCTGCTTGCGTTTTTTTCGCCATCTTGGAAACCTCTGAGCATATTCCTTCCGCGCTCGCGTCCGTGCCGCACCGCAGCGAAAAATAAAATGGCAGCCAATGGCAGCCAGCTAGCTGTCTTGGATCATAGACTTGCTGTAGAGTGGCAACACAATAAGTGTAGGGAGCCTTAAGCCATAAGAAATGGACCAATCGCAGTCGGTTGGGTTAAACCTTATAAGCTGATGACAATTGATGCAAAAAGAAAATACACCCTAATAATAGCTTTTTATTGCACTTCAACACTTTGTTTTGTTTTAATTTTTCTCTAAATAATTTATATGTATATACTTTACAAAGCTGTATCTTGATGCATTAAGTGCAATAGTGAATTAAAATGGTGCTTTGATCATGTGATTTAGACAGCCAATCAGACCATATCCTTCAATGACGCATCCTAGACAAATGCAACGTTTTTATATTAAATAAATTGACGTGGACAATTTGGGTCACCCCTTTATATATCGCGCGGCATCTCTTAATTATCATGGCTCCATGGTTCTTGTTTACCGCACCACGGATGCCGCCTGGTGGCGAGACTCCGCAGTTTCGCTTCGCAATTGTCGGAAGGGTTGTGAGCGTGTGTTTACCGCTGCGTCTTGTGACTCCGAATCCCCTTAGGATTATATCAAAATCGCCGTTTCTTATCAGCCGTATCGCCGTGCCTCGCCGTCGACGGGCGATTTCTTTCGTCTCGGCGGCTGAAACCCTCGTGATTTTCCCGTGCGTGATCCCGCGCGGTTCGACGTCGGCGATCGCCGTAGTGTGATCAAGGGAAAATGGCCGCCGCGGCGGCTGCCGCGCTGCTCGACGAGCTCATGGGCAGGAACAGAAATGTCTTGCCCAACGAGAAGCCCAAGGAGCTCAACTGGGAGGACCCCGAGGTGAGCCCGCGTCGACACCGGGCGTCTTCGTAAAGCCTCTTCGCCAACCGCTTTGAAAGATATCTCGATTCCTACTTTCGAGAACTTTTTATTTTTTTCCCTCGTTAACCATTTCTGCCTTGACAATGGCATCTTTCTTCATTTGACAAGATTTGCGAAGATTATCAGACGAGAGCCTAAGATGCGAACAACGAGAATTTGCACGATTGAGTATCCTAAATAATCGAATTGATGAACTCCGATATTATCCGTGGTTTTAAAATATATCTGTTCCTATGACTTTATACATTCTGCAATTTTCTTTTTTATTCTCTTCTAAGCTCTTTGATGTAATTTCCGTCTGATAAGATTGCATCTTATCGTGTAAGAAAATACAATCAAAACAAGACGTCACTACGAAGCCTGATAGATTGCCAGGATTTAGAACCAAATATTTACAAATTGATTTAGATTTTACAAGTTCACTATTTTTAGGAGCTAATTGCGATCATCTTGTAGCATCAACCTATTCAATAAGAATAATGAAGAAATTTATTAGTTATTGAAACTAATAAACGTGTCTCATTTTTCTCTAAGAATTAATCTTTGTTATTTTACTCCAAATTAATTGTAACTATTAAAAATAAGATATATTTAGATATATTTTTGGAGTAGAAAAAGGTTAAATATGAATAAAGAAAAAATGTATAATAAAGACATCAGTACAGATATTTTTCAGATTATTCTTCATAAATGTATAACTTAAGAATAGAATATAGATGCATTAATCTTGAATTTTATTTGTAACTTAATTATCCCGCTAATTTATATTTATTTAAATATATAAAGTTTATGGGATTTTATTGTGTGTTTTAGTTTTGCAAGCTGTACCTGGTGAAATTCTGTCCCCATGACTTATTCGTTAATACAAGAGCGGACTTAGGTGTATGCCCAAAGGTACACGACGATGAGGCCAGGGAACTGTTTGAAAAGGCGCCGCATTCGTATCGTAAACAGCAGTACGAGGATGAGTTTATCAGGTATTGTCAGAGTATGTTAAACGAAGTGGAGAGAAAGATCATAAAGGGAAAGCAGCGATTGGCACTGATTGGGAGAACAGAAGCAGTAAGTTTCACTGGACGATCAGATCACGTGTGCAGAATCCGTAATTTAACAATCTTTGTGCGTAGCCGACGTTGACTCCGGCCCAGACGCAGAGGAACGAGGAGCAGATCGCCCTGCTGACGGAGAAGATAAACAAGCTGGTGGAGGAGGCCGAACAAAGTGGAATTCAAGGCAATGTGGAGCAAGCGCAGGGCCTAATGCGTCTTTGCGATCAATTGAAGGAAGAGCGCGAAACCCTGAGAAAATCCAACGACAACAGTCATTACAATCAAGTGAGTGTAAAAACTTGTGCTTAATCTGTAATATATGTAATCTACAATCTCGATCTCTATGTAGCTTTACTAGAATGAGTTTTATGTGATTTACTATTTGAATTCTTGTACTAATTTCACAATATTCCTTTGCAGACTGCAGAATTAGCGGCCGCACAGGAGAAACAAATGGAGGTATGCGATGTGTGCGGCGCATTTCTTATCGTAGGTGATGCCCAACAGCGGATCGATGATCATCTGATGGGAAAGCAGCATGTGGGTTATGCCAGACTGAAGAGCGCTCTTCAGGAGATTATGGTAGACACGAATTGTGATATATTTTTTTTTTAATCACATCCTCGAGATTGAAAATTGAGATCTAAATGGAAATCTTTCACAGAACAAGCGTGAGAAGGCGCGCGATGAAAAAGAGCAGAGAAGAGAGGAGGAGCGAAAGCAAAGGGCACGAGCGAACGAGGAGCTCGACAGACGGCGGAGAGACGGCGACAGAGATAGAGATCGCGACAGAGAGAGGGACAAGCGTCGCAGGCGAATGGACGATGACAAGAGCCGTCACGATTCCGGCGGTCATAGGTAGAAATTTATCTCTATTTTGTGGCAGCGATTTTTGAAAAATCATATTCACAATCATTTTAAAATAATTTTAGAGTATCACGATATCATCAATTGTAGACATTTTTTTACATTCGAATAAATGTTGCCTGCATTTTTTACGTTCCTAAATTTTACATCTCTTATATATTTTGTTGTATTTTTACGTTCTAGCAGAAATGCGATGTTCAAGAATTGGAGCCAATCTAACGGAGATGTTGCTTATTACAGAAATTCTGGGCATAGAAGTAGAAGTAGATCGCGAGATAAGCATCATCGAGAGGAAGATAGCCATCGTCGTCACGGTCGAGATAAAGGTGAGCGTGATAACGTTGATCTTTTAACGTCTCTGTCAATGTTTAGATTGCGATTACAGCCTGTTTATTTACATCGGACGTGTTGCGTGTTCTAGGAGATGCAATGACAATGATAATGATTTCAGGAAATCGTGATCATCGAAGTTCTAGCCATCATAGTCGTCGCCGGCACCGCTCGCGAAGCCGAAGTCACAAGTAACTTCTCTTGATTGGTTAGTGAGTGAGAAGTAAGCCAGGTATGCACCAAACAATATAACCATATTCGTCTCAATTACTGTACAGGTACTCTCTCGATCCAGGTGAGTTGCCATTCCGATGCACATAATACATATACATGATAATATAATCTGTGATGTTTGAAGCGCCGCGTAAGTCACACAGCAAGTTTCGTCTCACTCTCTCTGAAACACATTCTGTCTCTCTCCGCCTCTCTCTGTCCGATTGTTCCGGAATAGTCACGCTCTCATGAGAAAACGAGAACGCCTGTCATTATAAAACTCGAGGAATAGATTGTAGTCTTTCGTTTTCCTTAACATCTAAATTGTTAGTGGCGCAATTAAGTGAAGCTGAGTGATCGATGGTAAAGTCTGCAGATTATAATATGTATACTTATTATTATGTAATATTGTATATATATTGTTGTTATATCATCTATCCAAAGATATATATTTTTGTAGAGCTTTAAGATCGAAAAAATTAAATTTATTCTCTTGGTCAAATTTTTATTCCAGATATTTTGCTTACATTATTGTAGCAATGATTTTTGGAATAACTTCGAGATACATTTATAGATTTAATTTTTCTTGTTCTAAATTGTTCTAAATTTAATTGTTTCGAGCACTTAAAGCACTTTATATTAAAAGGCTTTTAACAATATAAAATTATTCTGGAAAAGACTGTTAGGATTTTTATAGAAAGTAAATCTGATTTTTATAACATATTTTTAACTTATAATTGAAGTAAAAATTAAAAATTTTCATCACTTTCCGTGCGTTTTTTTTTTTACACAACTCTGATATCAATTCCATGCATTCTCGATTTATCTTGCGGAGCAAGCTAGGAGGAGGTATACCTACGCTTGCTTTCATCGGTTAATAAACTCCGTACCCAAGCAGCAGGAGAGCACAAGTCCAAGAATTCGTTTTTTTTCCAGGAGAAGCTCGCGAAGGTCTATGGAATTGTGGATATGTACTTTCAAGATGAATTGAATGAATAAGTGTGAATAAATGCAATCAGGTTGAAACTCATCCAATATACAGATTCATACTGTTTACTTAAAAATAAAACGAATTGTTTCTATAAAAATAAATACAGCGTTTTCTCTTTATTCTAAGTAGTTTTATTGCGTTTTGTTTTCAGATAATTGAGAAATTCGGGGCTTGCTCTTCGGGAATTTACCTTGCTTTTTTTTATGCAGAAAAAATTATCGTATTTGCCATTACAATGATATAAGATAAAGAGACACCCCCGGTAAAAAGCCAATAATTTTGGACTTAGCCCTTTTTGCTTCTCGGGCGCAAGGCTGTCTTCGTAGATTCGTTATCTTATTCGCGCGTCATTAAAGAGAGAGAGAGGGAGAGAGAGAAAGAGATTAGTGGTTTAGTGTGGAAGGGACACAGCTCTCAGTGCCCGCTTCATAGAGCTTCGTCCACGACTGCAAATGCACGAGTGCACAACTGCGAGTGCGCCCTGCAAACGTGTGACTGTGACTATACGAACCTCTAGCTTCTGCCACGCAATTGACGAGGTATTTATGCCGGAATGATAATATCAACACATGTCCTTCTGCCAGGAGAATTAGCCCCTTTGTTTTTGAGTCCCTTTGGGAGTTCCTTGGCTAGCTAAGGATCTTGGCGTTCTTCGAGAAGAATTCGAAGTTTTAGACAGTACAGGGATCCTGAAATCGCCGGTATATAGGCTCGTACATAATTCGTTCAAGACTGACGTTAGTACTCCACACCTCGTTTTTATCATGAAAAAAAAAACAATACACTGAAACGAGAATGTCATTAGCAAAGGCCATATCGGCCTAGAAAAAGAAATATAGGTAATTATAAGAGAGAATTTACCCCTGATAATATTTATCTTCAAAATTAAGCTTAAGAGAGATTTGATATTCAATTATTTAGATTTTTGTGAATGACGTAAGTCATCTCTCGCCTCCCTCCAAGGCAATAAAAGTTAACCCGACGATATTTGCGTATCTTTTGGCATTTCCGATCGAGAAGATTTATAGTTCGTAACCCCGTAATGAGGACCTCATGCGCTTATTAAACAAACACACAGTCGACAGAGGGACAGGATTTTGCCAACAAGACCATTATTATGAGCGATGTTTGGCTATTATATTTGTATCTCGATCGCCGACGACACCTTTGCTAAAACTTGGATTGTCTATTTTCAGAAAGAAGAGAAGAACCCCAAGGGAAGACTACGGAAACTCTCGATCAAGACGTCGATTAACATATTGTTAAGGTAAAGATTTTGCATAATCTTAACAATAAGAAAAAGAGTGAGAGAAAGTGAGAGGGGAGGACAGACGAAGAAAATATTTGCGTTGGGTCACACAGATATACCAGATCGTATATAACTCGTGTTCCGAGCAATTGTTATTTTAGGCCATCTATACATAAACAGAGTGATCAGCAAGATAAATTGTACAATACAATTTGTATTTGCTGTGCCGTGTTATTATAATAATAATGATAATAAGATTGTTATTTGGAACTAATAAAACAATGCTACGTATACCTGTTTTACTTTTTCTTCTTTTTTTTTTAATACACTTTAGGATTGAAATATATAATAAATTTAACTATCTAATCTATATATTAGCTTTTGAGTGTAATTGTTAAAATATAAAATTACTTAGATTAATAAAGGGTAAGAAGACAAAGCAAAAATCTATGAGAAAGTGATATAAAATACAGTTTTACAAAAATATATAATTTATTAAATAAATATATGCGAGCTTATACGTACATAACAATAATATATAAACAGTCTATGCTAATACTGTATATCACAATTTTCCGATATAAAATAATTTGTGCAACAGCGTATTTACTTCAAGCCAATTTGCCTCGTAACCTGTGAAAATACAATAAAATATACATTGTTAATTTAATTATTCTCACATTCCTGTTTAGAGTAAAATATATTTGCTCAAATAAATCTAATTTTTGAATAAAATTTTTATATTTAATAAGTGTCAAATAATAAATCTTAATAAATAAGAATCATTGCAAGATTAAAAAATTTAATATTTTTTCATCATTTTGGCCAAATCTTATCTTGACGATAGATCGAATTTACCTGTTCGTATACGGTCCAAGCCATGGTGGTCATCAAAGTCCGCCTCAGCATTCTAGGAACGATACCCTTGAAATATCCTAAGACACCGTACTTTTTGTATACGAATAACGTCGCGTGATAGATACTGTTGAATTCGTTCGGGTATAACTGCATCTTCGTCTTGACAACATCCGGCGGTTGCGTCACGATGGACGCCAAAATTCCGGCCAGGATCCCGCAGCCAAAGTGCACCGGTACCGACGAGTTGTTCGTCGCGCCTACGAACAGAAGAATTTATCATTACTCCAATGAGATTTCGATGAATCGTTAATATAAATTTTGATCTTTTATTTTCAAAAATTACGGAGATATCGAGACAAGTTGTAATAGCAAATCAAATTATTTCATAATTTTTATGTAAAACATTTTTTATGTTTCTGAATAATTCAATATTGTTTAACATATATGCTAGATTAATATATTTTTGAGGAATACCTGTGGTGGCAGCGTTTTTCAATTGGGTGTAAAACATGAGGTATAAACCGCTGTAAGGCGCATCCCGCAGGAGAGTGGGCACCAGGCCGCTCGATAATCCTCTCACTCCCTCCTGCTTGTAGATCAACGTAAGAGCCTCGCTGATACTGCTGTACTTGTAAACGCCGCTCTGCACAATGCAGAATTATACTTGTATAATCTGCTCGAATCGTCATTTTGGAAAGATCAAAGGTAATCATCGAATACTCATAATGGTCGAAACGTAAGAAATATTTTTAGATTTCATGCTATTACAAAAATATATATATTAAATTATATTTCACAAATAATATTAATAACGTTATTTTACTGAGTTTTGCAAAAACTTTAGAATTTTTGTTTTCTTTTCCCAATATCGTTTTCTCAATATTTTTTTCCCTTTTTAATCTAAGGATCCGATCTCATGTTATCTCGTGTCCTTTCATTCTCCATATTCCCGTCGTATCTCCTTTTTTCAGTTTTTTCTTCCCTATTTTCTGAACGTACCTCAAACCGCGTCTTCACGACGGTGATGGGAATCAGCAGAGCGCCGGACATGGACCGCGCGGTAATGCCCAAAGAAATGGCCTGCAGAGCCGTCAGGGGTTCTTCCAGATTGAAGGCGTGCTTCAGCCAGTGTAGCGACGAAAAGTACAAACCCACGCCAGGAATCACTCTGGTTATAGACTGCAAATTATCATCCATTACATCGTTATATCAACAGGAATCGACATCCAGTCTACGTAAAATCTTCAGAGCGACATCTTACCGGTGTCATGCCCCTCCAGAGTCCGAAGATATTCTCCTTCTGGACGATGTGCGACACCGTGCCCAGCATTCCATTTTTTGGCGATCTATTTAAGAAATCCGGAAAGTTAATTGGAAAATCTTTGAAAAAAAAGTGAAAGCTCTTCTGAGATAGCAATTTTCAAGTTGAAATTCGTAAGGTAAAAATCAGAAAGAATTTTTAAATTAAACTAACAATAAAACTAATCGTACCAAAAAAATCAAGTGCAAATTAAAGATAATTTTGCAAAATATAAAAAATTCTTAAGAAATTAAATATCAAAGAACGTCAATTTATTCAATATGTGTCAAGAACGTTAAAAGAGGACAAATTCTGATTTTATATATTTAGAATAAAAGAGAGGTCTAACCGCGGATTTTATTTACGAATGAAGGTTTTATTTATGAACTTTAATCTTACCCGACAGGGCCGTTGACTCTGCTCTGAAGCCGGGTCTTCACCAGGTCCAGCGGTTGGAAGAGGATCGTGGAGAATGTTCCGGAGAACGAGCCCGCCAAGAAGGACTTCAAAATTGGGTACTGCAAACAACATTAAAAAAAAAATGAGAAAAAACTCATTCGAATTCACGGTTGTGTCGATAGGAAAGTACGTTTAGTATCTTAAAACTCGCGATATCTATAACGATATCCGTCTTCAACGATCGAGTCTCTAACTCATATTTCAATTTTTCCTCCTAGTGAAAACAAGAGGAAAATAACTCGATTGAAGATTGCGGACACGTGCAGGCTGGCGAGATCCATTGGACCTCAGGGCGAAGCTCAATCGTTGCGAGCGATTATTACGACGATTGCTGTATCTCTCGTCACACGAGTTCGCTCACGTGCGGCGAAAGATCTCGGCCGAGTGCACGAGTATCAACAAGTTATCATCGTAAAGAGTGACCCGCCGGGGTTATCGTCGTGTGGAAAACAGCTATTTTTTCGCGAGGGACTGATACGTTAATTGCGCACGTTTCTGTAATAGAGAGAGAGCGCGCGCGCGGGCATCACGCGATTTTTAACTTAATACACTCGAGTGACGTCAGCCGTCTCGCGCCACAGGGGATCCATTTGTTTTCTACTTTTTGCTCGATAAGAGGGAGGCGAAAACAGGGTTTCGTCAGACTGATGAACTTCTCTTGACGTAAATTTGTCATCTACGCGCGCGTATCGTACGATACAATTTTATTAATAAACTCGTCTGACGTATTTATCGGACGTCTTATTTCTCTCGTTAGTCGATTCCTTCTTCGCGGGAGGCCTGCGAGCTTCGATAGCAAATCTTTCGCAATGGAAGGTACAAAAACGATATTAACGAAAACTCACTTATGAGAAAGCTTGGAGAGTTGATCTTTATGTTTTGTTTCCACATTAATCATTTTTAAGCGATCTTCTCAAATAGATTGACGATTATTTCTATCAATATTATAGGTAATTATATTTCAATTCTACGCATGGAAGAGATTAACGGCTTTTTTTTATAGAAACATTCAAGCGACGATCAAACTTTCCATTTAGTTCCGTCATTACAAAAATGTTAAAGATAAGACATATCCGCTTAAGATAATACAGTAGGTTAAAAAAATCCATATCTCTCATCTCTTGTGGATTAATTTTAAACAAAAAAGAATATTATAAAATTTGCATACATACATATACATAATTTTTTTTATTTGTAATAGTATATTGAGTAAAATATTTCGTAATATTCTTTTATATTAAAATGTCTCAAAAGGAATGGAGCGTGTAAATATTTTTTTTTTACGCAATGTCTATTAAATGTATACGATATAAATTCAATGCATAGATCTGCGAGAGTTTAAGTAATAAAAATTATTCATGATTTGAAATACTTACATTTGCCACAGCTTCCATGGTAGTACAATTCGAAAGTTCGTATCCACTGTCGAATATTCGTTACAATCACAATTTTACGATCCGAAAAGTATATTCAAAATTTATTCTCAAAACTAAGAAAAAAAAACACTCCAGAAACTTTTCAATTAGATAGTCTGTTACCCGACTGCGTTCACTCGACTATTAATTTCGATTAATTTTTACTAGTTTCATAATTAACGATGCGATCGCTCGTTTCAAAGAGAGAGGGAGAGAGAGATGGAAAAATTTTCCCCTCCGTCTGTAGGGCCGTCTGTAACGCTCGCGCGATACTGAATCACGTTTCAAACGTGCGCCGGCTCTACTTACATCCCCGTTTATCTTTGTTTCGCCACTGTCGAGGTCAATGGGGTGACCCTGCATATCGGGGCATGCTCGTGCGAGAAAAAGTTTCCAGACTTATCAGCCGACGAAACGTGATTTAAACGTGACTTCATTCGAAAACGTGAGGATGTACTTTATCACCGTAGTTCACTCCTCGCTCCGACGACCCTTTTCTCTTTGTTTTTTTCACGGCTTGATAGCGGCCTGTGAATCACTCCTCGTGGAATCTTTGCGGTGTTTACGGAGAGAGATCTGGGGCGACCGGACCGTGTTACTTTTCCACTGAACTCGCCTGTTTCTGCAAATCATGGGATTAATTAATGTTTTATGCAATTTTTAACATCGAGGTGAAAATATAATCTAATATAGTTATAAAATGTCACAAAATTATAGAGAATTAAATAATAGAGGTAGTGATTGTGAAAAAAATGTTCCTAAATGATATTTTGATACTCCTGCATTTTCATAAAAATTAAAGTTATAGTTGCTGTCTAAAATTGTGAGGCAAAATAATTATTTCGAATGCATTTATCCACACGTCTCTCTCAAAAGTATATTTAGAATAAGTAAAAAAGAGAAAATTGAAGTTACTAAATACAGCTATGCTGTATTTCGAAAACTTCTTGTTTTATCAAGCTATGAAGGAATCAAAGCCAGATCGAATTTTTTGTCAACTTATTATGTTCAATTTTGTCAAAGTTCAGTAAGAAAGTATGATAAACAGTGATGCGTTCAAAAATACTTCAAATTTTAAAGATAGCAGAGCTGATGATAAAGTGGTATCAGAATGACAGATAAGAACGATAGGAGCCAATGTTTTCAAGTTAGAATATTTGGAAAGCTCAGACGATGATTATGAAAGGGCCCTCCTCGTTGCGTCATCATTTAATCATGAACATTTGTCCTCTAGCCCAGTCCAGTCTTCTGGTTTAAGACCTAGTTGATTAAATACAGTATCTCATTTAATGTACAATTCAGACAGTTAATGTATACATATCTATAAGTATATAAATACAATATATATATATATAATCTGAGAAGCTTCAGTTCGAAAAGAGGAAAAGGACTAAATGTCTCAATGATCATAGAGCTTCATGTATATCATTGATACTCAAATTTCTATATTGTTTCATTTCCATGTGGAACAAGAGAAAGGTAATACTTTGTTAACGCAGTCACTTTTTCATCAGAAAACTGTGAATCTTTGTTTATTTGTAACAATTCTGTTTTCGAAGCTGCATTACGTTATGCTTTTTGCACTTTTAACACGAAATTGATATAAGTAAACATCGGAAGGAGGAAAAAAAAGATAAATGATAGAATTTACATAACAAAAAACCCCCCTTTGCATTGTAATAATTTGAACCAATAATTTGAGTGTATCGATTATCTTGTCAACTTGTTCTTTGTGCAAAATGTAAGAGAAATATAGATATACACACACGGATTCTGAGAGAAACTTCTAGATTCTGCAGGATTTCGTCACAAGCTTTCCTTCTCATAATTACATAATCCTCCGAAAGTAAACAAGATACTTGAGAGGCTTCTAATTTCGACATCTGCAGAAGTAAAGGATGAATTTCTGTCGTGAGACCGATCATTTTCTCGCACCTATTTCAGCACAGGATGAAATCTGGAGTCATATTATATTTCTGTGATGCGGCGATCGCAATCAAGACCCGAACGGACCCGTGCCCGTGTCCACCAGAGATTCAGGCTCACCGAGGGAGACGTCTTCACGGAGGCGAGACGGAGACCGGCGTGCCGATCTGTCGATCATGAATGCTCGTCCGCCGACGGTTCCACCTGCGCGTCGAGTCGGGCGAGGCAGCATACGAGTGATACGAGACCCGGGCGAGGTTCACGGGGTCGCGGTAGGTCAGCGCGAGCGCGGAGAAGTCGCGGTCGACTGATACGCGGTTATCGCGCGGCGATCGCGACATCATTGTTTTGCGCTTCCATTCGGTCCGGGGGCGCGGCGGTGGCGGCGGCGGCGGCTGACGTAAAGATAGCCCCTGTCTCGTCCCGGGGCCGCTTATCACCGCGCGGCGCGCGAATGAGACTCTCTCGTATTTACCGTCTCGTGACCTCGTATTGAACCCTCGCGGTAGCTCACGCTCGCTTCCGCTCGAATGCACGTGGCCGTCAGCTGTGTTCACTTCACCTGTTTCCCCTCCGAATTGCCCAGACTGCATGTGCAGATATGATCTCGTTTTTCCTTCGACATCTCGAATTTGTCCCAATTGCAACAGGTGCAGACCAATCGGAGGACAGGGATTTATCTCCAAATTAATTGCGCTTATCCGCGCGATGAGTGGGCAAAAAAAGATCGACCAATCGCGAATCTGAATTAGTTTAAAGCTGCGACGTTATGTATATTGAAATTCTCTGCATATATAAATAGAATTAGTATACATTTTAATTGCTGTCATATGAATAAATATATCAATTTAGCAATTCAAAATACTTCATAAATTCCGTTAGGCTTATGGTCGATTCCTAGAATTGATAAAAAAGTAAATTGATAAAAATTAAGACTATATGTGACAAATTTCGCTTTCTTTCATTATCTCAAAAATATTAACTTTTTACTGGTGTCACTTTTCTATCATCTAAAGCCTCTGTCTAGGCCGTACATCGTTCCTACATGACGCGACGCTACGTTCCCCCGAACTTGCTGCGGACTCGACGGACTGCCGGATCATACTCTATAGAGCGCGCGCGGCGAGGCGGTCTCTCTCCATGGTCCGCGCTTTCGATATAGTCTCGACTCGGCATGCTGCCGAGTACCGAGTCGAGACTATATCGAAAGCGCGGACCATGGAGAGAGACCGCCTCGCCACCCGTGTCAGTTTTCGGCGGACGATTTAGGAGTAGCGCAGCGCGCGCGGCCGCATAAAACGTAATTCGTACTTCGTACTGACGGATAGTGGCAGTAATGGCACTGGCCTCTTTTTATCATGCGCTCAATGTTTAATTATAATGTAACTTATTTGCAAATAAATGAAATAAAAAATGACGTTAGAACTTTATTCGGCGGACGATTAGGAGTAAGGAGCTAGTGCCAATCGTCCGCCGAAAACTGACACGGGCGATGAGGCGGTCTCTCTCCATGGTCCGCGCGAGGCAGTATATAAACAGCGCGTACGCGCCGCGCGCGCTCTATAGAGTATGATCCGGCAGTCCGCCGAGTCCGCAGCAAGTTCGGAGGAGCGTAGCGTCGCGTCATGTAGGAACGATGTACAGCCTCAGACAGCTCATGCGCTGCAAATAATGAATGAATAGGAATGCATGGAGGAAATTTACATACGGGTACATGAAATCTCTAAATTTATTTTGTTTTTTTTTATCATTTTATTAAGTTACAATTAATTTGCTTGCACAGTCAGCCGCAACTGTTCGCCGCGTCGCGCGTCGACGCGACGCTTGTTTCGCGTAAACTGACTGCGTGCAGGA